AGTTGCACACTCAAAGGAGGATCTACAAACAGCCCTTAATTGCTTCTCTGAAGCTTACAGAAGCCTAGGGCGAACACTGAACATCAGCAAAACCAATGTTCTCCACCAGCCAGTCCCTGGTCAATCATCAGACCCAGCAAGGAAGATCTACATTTGGCCCATTATCTTTAAAAGAAATCTAGCTTTAGATGAGCTGTATATGAGTTGAACAACTGCCCTCAACTTTCCAAAATGAAAATATATGCAATTTTACATCCAAAAAACAAAAGGAAAGAAGATGGCACGAACCTACCATTTGTAAATGATGCAGGGGCAGAGTGCTTGTAACAGTAGACATGGTATGAAACTAATGGTGAAAATGCTATGAGGGTCTATTTAATTAGGCCGTTTATATGCTACACTACCATCATGTGAACCAATAATTAAGATGTTGATGATCTGTCAGAGGCAGACGTCAAGGCAGTGCTGCTGAAGATGGCACCTGGAAAAGCAGCAGGTCCGGATAAAGTCACAGAGGAAATTATCAAAGCCTAGAGAGAGGTTGGTGTATGCTGGCTCATCTGAGTCAAGTGTGAAGACTGGAAAGAGAAGGAAATCCCAAGAGAATGGAGAATGGAGAAAATACATGATTTTTTGAAGTACTGAGGAATTAAGCTGCTGTCCCATTCCATGAAACTGTTAATTGATAGATAATTGAATTCACCAAATAGTGGAACCTATTTTAGGAAAGGAGCTGTTTGGATTTAGAAAAGGACAACCGACAGTACGTTCATTGCTAGACAGATGGTAAAAAAAGAAGCTGGAGTGAAATGTCAAGCTTTCCTCAATTTGGAGAATTGACATTTTACAAGGTACTTAGGTAACTGCTAGTGCCTCTGTTACAATTCTATGAGGTACTGGAGGACCTTGTCCAGATGGTTTGATGATGGTTCCATGATAAAAGTGGGGATGCCCTACGGTGAAATGTAGGGTTTCAAGGTAAAGGTTGGGGTCCACCAGGGATGAGCGCTTAGTCCATTATTATTCATAATTGTGCTGGACTTCATAAGTAAGCAAATCCTAATGAAAGGTAGTATGAAGTTGATCTGTGCACTAGGGCTGATAGTGAGGAAGATTTGGTCCAGGCGACTGATGCCTCGAACAGGGAACTAATAAACTATGGCCTCAAAAAGAAAACTAAAGTCATATGGGAGACTAGTGCAAAACCAAGACAGATTAATATCAACATCAAAGGCCAGCACCTAAATCAGGTTTCTGAGTTTAAGTACCTTGGGGGCTTGCTAGCTGCAAAAGCAGAAATTGACAAACAACTGCAAGTAAGGCTGCTGAGCACAGGGGAAGTCTGGTGCAAGGTAAGTAGAGTGATGGAAGATAAACTGATGCCCAGACTACTTAAGGGACAACTATACAAAACTATGATATGACCAGCTCTTCTGTATGGATCAACAACATGGTCAACCAAAGAGGCACTTGAGACAACCAGAAGCCATTGAAATTAGATGTTTGAGAGCAGTGAGAGAGTGACTGTACTGGACCATGCAGAATGATGTCATCAGGAGTGAGACCAAGGTTTGCAGTATCCTTTAGATGGTACAAGAGAGGAGGCTCAGATGGTATGGACAGATGAAGGAAATCTTATTAGGGAGGCATTTGAGACTAGAGTTCACGGATGGAAAACAAGGGGATGGCCAGGAAAATGGTGATAGACTGTGTAAAGGAGGACAGAGTGAACATGGAATGAGTATTAAACTGTCAGCCAGAAAAAAGACTGATCCAGTGACCCAACCCCAGCTAGCTGGGAAAAGGGAAGATGAGGAAGATCTTTAAGAGGCTTACTGGTCTTTCTGGAGGTGTTTGTGTATGCTGTGGTTCAAATCTGTGGAAGCTGATTGTCTTTCCAGGGCTGCACATGTATGTCTGCTATGACTGGAGAGACAATTATCACTTACATGCCTGTGTGTGTCATGACTTCCCCAAATGTTTTAGACCTATGATTGAGTGAAATACCTAATAGCTAATTAGAATGTTACAAATACACAGGTACAGATGAAACAACTAGGGGCTTTAGTGACAGAAACATTCCACTGGAAGTAGTAATGATCTAAGTAGTATCTGACAGTCTGAGCCATACAAACAGGAGATACAGGGATGGGGGAGGGGCGAAGAGTGAGAGATGAGGGATATGATAGGATGTGTATCATCTACATAGAAGCAAGGTCCGAACTGAATGAACTATTCTGAATGAAAAAGATATGTGAAGAGAAGAGGGCCAAAAACATAGCCTTGAGGTATTCCCTGGTGGAGAGGACATAAAGTAAAAATGACTGTGTGGTTTCAGGAATGAGCTAGAAATGGACAATATAAATTAAACCACAGGATTTTTTTCTCCATCAAATCTCTTCTCAGTCCCATCACATCTCACACCTTTACACTCCACACCTTCAAAGTTATCATGCTGCTGGTTTAAAAACTAGACAGTGGATTCCTTTGCAGGTGGTCAGTGCAGCTATTCGTTTGGTCAGAGGTGTTTCAGTCATTTTTGTTACTGAAGTGTTAATATACCCTTAACAACTATACTTCCCCCATCCTTCCAACCCTGCTGTCTGCTCAAATGCTTCTCTAAGCAGAAACTTTGCCTCCATAGCTCAGTCAATATAATATTCATTATTTGTACCACCATTTATGTTTTCCTAGGTGTCAAATGACCTCTCTCCTCTTTCAAATATGTCTTTAAAACCCACTTCTTTATCTTAGCCTGCCAGTGCTGTCTCCTCTCTCTTCCCACTTTTGCATTTACCTTTTTTATTTGTAATTCTCTCAATTAGATACCATTGGCCCAGAGAACCATGTTTTTTTCATACTTGTAAAGTTCTATTCACACATCAAGCACTCTATAAATAAATACTAACCAGCAATAGTTTTTGGCATTGCTATCATAAAGGTAGCAGTTAAATAAATATCTCAATAATTGGGATACTATTTGAAGACAGAAAAATTGCTTGTTGTAAAATTATACATTTGGTATTCTCAAACTTTAGAAAATCACCTAATAATTTTGTTTAAATTCCTATGAGGTGGGGAGAGGGGAGCTATGAATTAATTGAACAGTTCTTGAAATACTCATTGTGACATTAATGAATGCAATTATACTAATATCAGGAAAGATAAAATATGACACTAATTTAGCACTAGTAGGTTGACGTTTCAAAACTGGTTTATAATTTGAAACTTGCTATGAGTCATTTCCTCTAATATGAAGAATACCATATTAGCTTCTATTTCATTAGTACAGCTCAGGGAAGTGACTGCTCCCAACCAAAACAGAATTCAACAAGAACTGGTTTTGTAAATAAACAGCATTAATCACTCATGGTACATACAAATCAGATGATGTGAAAGCCAGAGGCAATCCTTCAAAAAAAAATTAAAGCTTTTTTGGGGGGAAAGGAAGGAGTTTCCTTCAATCAAAACTAATAGTGCACTAGCTGATAAACATGGGATTCTATGGCAAGAGTCTGACAATCATAATTTAAAATTTGTATAAATTCAAATAATTTAAAAATCAGCTGTGAAACCCTTATGTTTGTACTATGTTCTCATGTGGATACAAATCCAACTGAATTGAATGAGTTCTGCCTGAGTAAAAGTTTGAGGATTCAACCTCAGGTTTTCAAATAGTATTAGTATTATACTGACTCAATGCTTCATTTTTCACACCCTTTGATACTGACAATTTCTGCCCAAATTCACAGATAGACAAGGTGGATGAGGTAATATTATTTATTGGACTAGCTTCTGGTTGTATGTAAAGATCAGAGGGCTATAGATGGTGAGACCACTGAGGATGTTTTGTTTCTTGCATTTGCTCAGGAAGTAGATGTCAGTTAAGTTTTGCTTCTTTCTTCTTCATGTTGCGGCATTTCCATGGTAGATTATAAGGTTCATTATCTCCATTGTTGTATGCAGTAGTAGTGTAGCCATGTTGGACCAAGGAAACACAGAGATCAGGTGTGTGAGATACTATATTTTATTGGACCATAAAAGACATTACCTCATTCACCTTGTCTTTGCAATATGCTGGGAGCTACACGGCTATAACACTGCATAAAAATTCACAGCTGACAGCGTACTACGGAAGTACTGTCACTAAGCCACAATTCCTCTGTCATATAGAGAGAAAGCTTGTTTCCTTATGAGCTACTAAGACTAGGAGTTCAGAGAGGCAGGGGTCTAGCCTGGTCTCCATAGCCCAGATCCTCAAAGGTATTCAGGCACCCACTGATTTCAATGGGAGTTGGGCACCCAAATACCTGTGGGGATGTGAGCCTCTCTTAGGATTTCCAGCCTTCTAGGCATGTCCTGGAATCGAATATTAATCTTTAATTGAAGATTATGTCATGTGATGAAACCTCCAGGAATACCTCCAAGGAAAATTGGCAACCCTAGCCTCGCTCAGTTTAGCAGGAACTTTAGGTGCAGATGGGTCAGTTTGATTACTGATCCATGAGCCTACACAAAAGCCCCATTTAAGCACTAAGATTTCATAGCACCCACCACTGTGTTATGCGCTGTACGCCCAAACAGAAAACCCTGTGGCCAGCTTGGAAGTGGTTTACAGTCCAGTTTTAAACATCGGGTGACTGGGGGGGGGGTCACAAAAGGGTCGAAAGAGCGGGACACTCCCAGGGCCCCAGCCACGGCTGTGCACGGCGCTGTGCGCGCAAGCAGAAGGCAGTCCAGGACCCAGGGGGCAGGTGACATATAGGGAGGGGCCATTACTAGGCCCCCTTAAGCGCGGACCGTGAGGCGGCCGAACCACGGCCCTGATTGACAGGCAGGCAGCCGGCTCCGTCCCGCCGCACCTCGGCGCTCCCACTGCCGGCGGGGAGCGGCTCACGGAACAGGCTGGGGGAGGGGCTGCTCCTGCGCACAAGGTCCCCCCGGCCCTTCCCACCGCCTTGCCAGCCTCCGCCCAGGGAGAGGCTGCGTGACGTCACGCGCAGTCACGCGGGCGCTGGACGGAAGCGGAAGCGGAGCGGGGTCCCGGCGGCGTTTTGGACACGGAAGTAGCGCGGGGTCCGGGCAGTGGGTTCCGCAGCGGGGACCAGCTCCAGAGACCGGACACAGCGCGATAGCGGCGTCCCCCACCATGGCCGCGACAGCCAACCTGCAGGTGGAGACAGGCGGAGCCGGGGCCCCGCCCAGAGCGTCCTGCTGCGGGGGGGGGGTGTCTGGGGTGGTGTTTAGGGTGGGGGAGGGGAAGCGAGGGTGGTGTCTGAGGTGGGGGGAGAGGAAGCGGGGGGCGGGGTCTGGGGTGGGGGAGAGGGGGTGGCTGTCGGGGGGGTCCGGCCCCTGGGTGCTGGAGCTTCCATAGTGCGTCCCTCAAATGTCCGGGGCTTCTGTCGTGTATCTTGAGGTTTGTCTCGAGTCGGATGAAAAGCGTGGGGTTTACTTTAAACCGTGTCGCTTCACTCGCTTTCCCCAACCTCTCGTCAATCCCTTAGTTAGAAGGGGCAATTTACACTTGGTAGGTGGCCAGGGCGATCTTCATCCAGCCAACATATGTTAAAGCATCTCTTGTCCTGTCTACATTAAGACTTTAAAATACCTTTGTTTATTTGTTTTTAAAATGCACCCTCTGTCAGAGTTTAAACAAATTGTCAAAAGCAGTTATAATATGTCTGCTCTGGTTGGGGGTTTATCCCTCTGTCCATTTCCCATTAGTGTCCTGGTTCAGTGGCTACGTACACTGGTGTTCACTGTCATCTCTTACCATACTCCCAGGGTAGCACATGGGTTTATTTACCTCCTCACTTTTCAATTAAGTCTTAAGTTGTTTCTCATAACTTGTAGAAGCATATATCCCATATGCTACCATATATTTGAGGTTGGAGTAGGAGAGATCTGTAATTGTTAATATCCCCTCTGCTCTGTTGGCTGCACAGTCACTTTTTTTTATTTTATTTATTTTTGCACTATGCTTCCTTTCTCCTTGTCTTCTCACAAAAGTAGTACTGGTATTGTTAAAGTGGTAACAAACACACTCATAACTGCTTTCATGCTAGATCAGTTATAAAGGTGGTTTTGGTTTAAAAAAAATCACACCTGTAACTGAAATAGTTACACTCTGACAAAACTGGCTGCAAATCAGGCCCTAGGTTCTTCCCTCCCCAACCTCCACACACTTTTTTTTTCCTGATTCACTATTATTTGTATTATCATAGCACTTAAGAGAATATTTTGTAGAAGCCTTCCTTGGCACAATGAAATTGATGTTCTGGACTCTCTAGCAGTCTAACATGATGTTTCTGTATTATTTTCCTGTGTTTATAAAAGGGGAGGCATAGGCCTCTTGTCAGAGTTTCAGGCTAATTTAAGTGGGTTTCAGAAGTGGCCAGTGAAGTGTGTAGATTTTTGTTTGTTTGGTAGGAGCAGGACAGGAGCGTAACACAACCTCCTCTCTGGCTGGGGATCTGTTTTAACAGATGGTCTTTTCACATACCCTCCCAGAATGGAAAATTTTGCTCGTCGTTTTAATAAGACAAAGATTCAAAATTTTTCTCACACCTGGTGGCTCACCATTTAAAAGGTCTGCCTTTTGAAACAAGCTCCTTCTAGTTTAATCTACCTGAAACCAAAAGGTCCTTTGCTCCAGTGCCATTGAGTCAAAACCAAGCCAAACAATAAAGATACTGTGCTACTTCTCTTCTGATCCCTATTGGTGCTGCTGCTGTGTATCCGCTTTGTTTTGTCTGATATGTTAGAGAGAGCCCAAATCCTGACATGGATGTATTCACAAGAGACCAAGGACAAGTGCATACTGTATTTGAAACTGCTAGAAACAGCCTTGTTGCTGAGTTTCCATGATCAGTGTGATCACATTGTTAGTACAGTTAGCAGAAGAAATAACTGTGTATGAGAGAACTGAATATAGTAACATTTACTATATAGGTGTATAGTTACTCCTAAGTAAATTGTTAGCGGTTAAGGTCAATTTTTATATTGATGTGAGCCAAATAAAATCAAATTCTAAATGCTTAGTTAGAAATGTAAAATCATCCAATAATCTGTTCCCCTTCTTCATGCACAAATATAATGATAGCTGTTAGGTAATCTGGAAAGGACAAAAAAAATGCCCTTTTATACAACTTTCTAATGTTTGAAGGCCACTTCCTCCTTGTTTGTTAGGAATTCAGTCCTTGTTTGCCCTTTTTTCCTGGAAGACACTCTTGAGATACTAAGGATATGAAACTGGATTAATTGAGGCGTAATTACTGTCATTCAGACTGTTTACAACTTTTTGAGGTTTTTGTACTGAAAGAGCTTCCAGTCTACAACTGAATCCTCCAAGATAGACTTCCAGCAAATTTCTTACTGGAGGAGATATTCAAAAGCAAATCTCCCCCTTTTGTTTCTGAAGTAAAAAACACAAATAGGGAAGAAAAGTAAAAAGTGCCTGAAAAGTTTTTCATGCATAAAGAATGGCACAAAGCCATACTTCTTTCCCACTTCACATAACCTTTTTATAAGAGGTGAGAATCACATTCAGAATCCTTGAAATACAGAATTGTTGCTACTAAAGAGTTATGTTTACTTGAACTCTAAACTTCTGGTTATAAATATTTGGCACTGCTACATTACATCTTTTTTCCCCAGAGCTAATCTCAAATCATAATGCAGATTTTATCAGTTATTTGTATTGCAGTGGCTCAATCGTGTTGGAGCCTCACTAAAGATTTTTAGTAACAGTTGACTTTGATAGTATATCCTGAGAAATTTTTAAGCTATGAAGATAAAATTAAATTTGAGAATGGTGTGGATTCTCCATACATCTTTTCAATTAACATAAGAGATCTCTAATAAAAATTTGGAAGCGCTGGATTCTGCCTGTCACTTCTAGTTTATGTACTACAGATATATATATTGAAGGTACACTGTTGACTTACTCTATATGAGTACAACACTCAGCACAAAGGGGTTCTGACCTAATTACCCTCTAGGTGCTACTGCAATATAAAGACTAATAAAAATACTTCTAAATTGACTGATTTCAAGTTGTATGCAGTGTTGTTGTAGCCATGTTGGTTTCAAGTTAGCTGTAGAAGTACTGTAGACAGATACGGATTGTTGCCTAGTGCAAAAATATTTTTGACTGCTAATATCTGTTCAGATGAAGGCCTGAATTTGCAGTTTGTTGCTGTATCTACAATTCTCTATTAGATTATTTTTTCAGCTGATTTAAAAATAAGGTGCTTTTTTTATTTTCACAACTTTTGTATTTTAATATGTTGGAAAGAATTAGGACGTCTTGTACTAGGGCACCTTAGTAGAATAGATTTTAAACTCCTTCTGTATTCTGCCAAACTACATTAAAAGTAAATAACATCCTGATCCTGAAAAGACTTATGCACATTCTTAGCTTTGCTACTGTGAATAGTCCAGTTAACTTTAATAGGGACTACTCACCGTACATATAGATAAGCACATAAGTCTTTGCAGGCAAAGGGCCTACAAGTTGCACCAGTAAGCTCTTACAGCCAAATTCTCCAAACGCTTAAATGTGAGTTAGTTTTTATTCAAGCAGGTAGTGACATTGATATTAATGGGATGACTTGTATGAATAAAGTTTACTCATGCATGTTTGTAGAATCCAGCCCTCCTTAACTTTGACATTTCTTTGGTAAGGTTGTATGTGCAACCTTGATTCTGCTCCTTATGAACATATTATCATATGCACACAGTATTTCTCAAATTATATTAAGTATGTGTGTATGGCATCTTATATAAATGACTCATGGAGTGCATTTCTGTGAAAGATCTACGAGGAAGTGAGATGGGTGGAGTCCTCCATCATTGACTGCTCACCTAGCAAGAGGCATTTTACTTAGCTGTAGACAATACTGTGAATATGTAATTGTCTTACAACACATGCACAAGGGAAGCAGAGTTATGGTAGCGCATGCAACTTCAGCTTTGGCATTTCATTACTTAAGAGCTTACCTGTGTAACTATAACATTAATTTAATGTAGACTTTTTAATTGATTTTTGCTCTTTAAACAGGAAAAGATCTAGATCCCACTAGAATGCCTCCTAACTCATGCACCTTAAAAAGTTCACAGGAGAGTCCTTCTCCTGGATCCTCAGGAGTTGCACTCTTTCCTTTTTAGTGTGTCACTGTCACATACAGTGCAAACTCTGCAAAGTGTACATTAAATTGATGAATGGCTTGGTACACCCTTAATAGCTTAAGAGAAGAGCTTTGTCACAATCTCAGCACGTGCCGGCTTACTATTGCTTCTAATGTTGCTTTTAAAGTGTTCAACTGCAAAATCTTGAATTGTGTTCATGTGAAGTATGACTTTGCAGAACACTGAAAAGTTCTTATAGTAAGAACTATTCTTGTCAGATTTCTTCTTTCTACCCCAGCTATGTCAGCACTAGAGCATTTTAAAAGGTTGCATTCATTCTTAATAAAAGGAAATGATTTTCATGTTTTGAGACAAGTGAATTGTTTTAGCTCAGACTAAAAAAATAGGAATGTACTCCAATCAGATCTTAATATCAGGTTCTTAGATCAAACTTCCTCAAGCAGCAGGCAGTTGAAAACTGATTTAGAGTAGAAATGCTTCAGTGCCTTTAACTCTGTGTCACTACTGTTCCACCTAGAATATATTGTTTAAATAAATTGGCATAAGGTTTTGTTTCATTTGGTGGTTTCATTTTGTGTGTGTGTGGGGGGCTATTTTTTTAATCACTTTTGTAATATATCCAGACTTGGGAACTCGGGTCACTTGGCTCTGTGTCCCCACTGATCTCAGCCAGCTCTCACACAAAGCTTTGTGTCCTTGATATTTTCCAAGTCCACTCTGAATTCAGTCCTTCTCCCTGAGATGCCCAACAGCAGTTGCTCCAACTTAAGGCCCTGGTTCTAAAGTGAGCAATAAGTGCATGGAGGAGTCCTATGTGGAACTTCTTACATGAGCATGGCCTAAGTTACTACAATTTGTATTTTAAATGCGAACATTTGTTTGGCATACAAAAGAAAACAGCACAGAATAAAACAATAAATATCAGCTAAAACTCATTTAGACTTACCATTACAGAAAGCATAATTCTACTTAGTCACATGATATAGTTAAGCAAAATAAAAATCTTGGTAAGACCTGTATCACCCAGCTGCTGCCAGGAGCCTTGATTTTTTTTTTTTCTCCTTAATATATTTTCTTTCATTTGGTAATGGAAGAGTACACTCAATTCAATGCACGATAGTTTTATTCAATCTGCAGTAGAACTGTTTTTTGGTATTATATATAAATTTAACATTTCTACTAATAATTGTACCTCTGGTATTATTTTGGGTTAGTTACTTTTTCTGGGGTTTACAAGAAGATTGGTTGCATATTATCAGTGAAGATGAGCATGAGTTCCTTTGCTGAATGTGACTATCAGGTGGTCATATGTATTCAGTGAGTTTTATTTCAATACTTCTAGAAATAGGTCTCATTACCACAAAATGAAAAGAGATCCTGTTTCCTGGCAGATTAGTTATATAATATTCACAATTTAATAATATTTTAGCAATTTTTAATTATTCTATATTCAGGACTGTACAAGGACAGTCCCAATGAATTTATAATCAATTACCTTCAACTTGTTTGCATAGTATTGTAAAGGTGAGGCATCAACTTTCAGTGCAACAGCTTAAATGATCACTCTGATGTTGCAGTACTCTTGCATAATAGTTGTCATTTTAATCACATCACTTTTTTTTTTTTTTTTTTTGTCTTTACAGAAAGCAATAGATCTCGCTAGCAAGGCAGCGCAAGAAGACAAAGCAGGAAACTATGAGGAAGCACTCCGCTTGTACCAACATGCTGTGCAGTATTTTCTCCATGTAGTTAAATGTAAGACTTGGTATATTAGCTAGCTATTTGCTGCAATTTTTTAAAAGCTAAATTATATAAAATTATAGCCGTCTACCTGATAGAACCAAAATGCAAAATATTCACCATGTTAAGCATCAATAAGTATTTTGTTTAAAGATACTAAATCTCTCAAACAGTCAAATGAGAGTTGCCAGCTATACTTTTTATTTAAGGGCACATATTATGTCTCTTCCTCTTCCACCATGTACATGCTCGCCAATTGCTCCAATCTTGTAAATAGTCCACTTTGTTGCTATTTAGAAAGGAATCCTGCTACAAATGCAAGATTTCTTCAGAAAGTTCCAAGATGGCTGCAGTGTAGGGGGGACCAGTGGAGGGAGGGAAGGGTTAAGTATTTCCTTTTTTATGTAGGGAAAGTCAGGTGGTATCTGGAAAGCCAATCTTTGTGTAGTGACCGCACAGAAGTTACTGTCTCTTCTTGCTGGTGAAACAATTTCTCTATCAAATTCAAGCTGCTTATGCTTATCTTAAAGTTCTGCACAAATGAACGTGTGTAGCAGGGGTAGGCAACCTATGGCACGCGTGCCGAAGGCGGCACGCAAGCTGATTTTCAGTGGCACTCACACTGCCCGGGTCCTGGCCACCGGTCCGGGGAGCTCTGCATTTTAATTTAATTTTAAATCATAGAATCATAGAATATCAGGGTTGGAAGGGACCTCAGGAGGTCATCTAGTCCAACCCCCTGCTCAAAGCAGGACCAATGAAGAAATGAAGCTTCTTAAACATTTTAAAAACCTTATTTACTTTACATACAACAATAGTTTAGTTATATATTATAGACTTACAGAAAGAGACCTTCTAAAAACGTTAAAATGTATTACTGGCACGCGAAACCTTAAATTAGAGTGAATAAATGAAGACTCGGCACACAACTTCTGAAAGGTTGCCGACCCCTGATGTGTAGTTTAGGCCGATATTTATGCTCTCATTTTTCTTCTACTAATACCTTGTCTACAGTTCCCTTTACATCCTTCCTTCACTGTTGTCTTCATGCTTCCTTCTCTGTTGCTTCTTATTCCTGAATTCTTGCCTTTGTCTTTGATGTGCAAGGAAATGCCTTAAGTTAAATTCCACCTTAAAATGTGTTATTTTCTGCCAAGTCTACCAATGCAAACTAACTCACGTTAGATGTACTATTACATATACAATAATTTTAAAATCTAAAATAATTTCCCTTTGATCATTCAGGGCAGTTTGTGTGTGGGTTTTGTTTCTTTGGTGTCTGTCTATAAATTATGCTCTGTGGGGCAAGAGAATGTGTCTTCTGCAATGCTGGGCACGCTTTTGGGAATTAAAATATAGAGTAAAGTGTGCATGCCTCTTGTTGTGTAGCCTGAAATGCTTTTTAATAGATTAAAGACCAGGAGGACAATAATAACTATTAATGTGCCATCTAAGGTTGACAGGGTAGGTGAGGTACAGTAACTCCTCACTTAAAGTCATCCTGATTAATGTTGTTTCGTTGTTAGTTGCTGATCAATTAGGGAACATGCTTGTTTAAAGTTGTGTAATGCTCCCTTCTAATGTTGTTTGGCAGCCACCTGCTTTGTCTACTGCTTGCAGGAAGAGCAGCCCGTTGCAGCTAGCTGGTGGAGGCTTGGAACCACGGTGCACTAACAGCCCCCTATCAGCTCCCCACTGCCCTAAGTTCCCTGTGCAGTAGCTGCCTGCAGTTCAGCTGTGTCCCTCCCCCCACTGCCATGTACCGCTCCTGCCCTCTGCCTTGGAGCTGCTCCCCGAGACTCCTGCTTGCCGTGCGGGGGGGAGAGAAGGAAGAGAGGGGACTAATGTCAGGGTGTCCCCCTCTCCCCTGCTCCTGCACCCCGCTTACCCCATCTTCCATAGAGCAGGGGGGACAGACCAGGAGGGAGGGAGCTGCAGCAGCTGCCTATCAGCAAGCTGATCTAATTAACAAGGCAGTGTACTTAAGGGAAATGTGCATATCTGTCTCCATTCCTGCTGCCTTGTGTAGAGAGAGAATTAACGCTTGAGGGCTCAGCCAATTGCTAGTTCATCATTTAGCAGTAAGGGAAATATCCCACCCTCTGACTCTTCTACTTCAACCAAATTTCACAATCATCATCATTGTGTACCAGTATTAAATTGCTTAAAACTTATAGTGTATCTATCTATCTAAAAAAACTTCCCTGGAACCTAACCCCCTCATGTACATTAATTCTTATGGGGAAATTGGATTCGCTTAACATCATTTCGCTTAAAGTCGCATTTTTCAGGAACATAATTACAATGTTAAGTGAGGAGTTACTGTAATATCTTTTACTTGGCCAGCTTCTGTTGGTGAGAGACAAGCTTTCGAGCTTACACAGAGCAAAGATTGGTCAGATTTTGCGCCTATCTCCCTTTCAATGTGAACAACAACTTTTTTTAAGAAACTGGAAGATTGCAGAAGGGGGTTGAGAACATACAATGTAAATAAACAAAAACACCACTGATCTCTTAAACTGCTGCCCAGTAACCTCTGTTTTTTAAGCAAGCTAATCAAGAAGCTATCTATCTACCAGTATCCTTGATCCTTCTCAATCAATCAGGGTTTAGGTCAAGTAATGATGCAGAGATGGCTGCCTCCTGCTGATAGCCAAGCCAAAGGCATCCATCTTAATCTTGATGGCCTTCTGATACCGTTGATCACCAAGTACTCCTGGCTTGCTTACAAGAAGCTTTGAGATGAACAGAACTACCCTGAAATAGCTTGGATCCTTTCACACCAAATCCATAATGTTGTCATAGTCAGCTGATCCTGTACTTCTAAAACCCGCACCTGTGGAATCCCACAAGGCTCAGTCACTTTCCACTATATTATTCAACATCTGTCTGAAGCTTTTGGGAGAGCTGGTAGGTTAACATTAGACAATGCACAGTACAACGTCTCGTGTACTTTTGCTGTTAAGAGTACCATCAACTTCAATACCTGGGTGAAATCAGCACCTGAATGAAAGCATCTTGCTACAGTTGAACCCAGGTAAAACTGAGGTGATTTTGGTAGGAAGAAGAAAGAGCTTTGAAGAACTTGCCGCCTCCTAACACTTCTCCATTATCAGATGCATTTTCCCTCCATTCTGTCTATAACCCTGTCCTTTAATCTCAGTGCTGTTGGATAATCGTATACTTATAGGATCCAAAACACCCACAACTGGCCCTAAAGTTGCACCCCATCCTATCAGTACAAACCTGGTCATAGTGACCGCCACACTTGTGATCTGCAGGCTTGATTACTGCAGCTCATAACTAGGAGTGAAGCCACACGCTTTGAAAAAGCTCCACCTGATACAAACCACAGTAGCCCATCTGCTTAGCAACACAAATCACAATGAACATATCACCATGGAGCTCTGCTCTTTGCATTGGCTTCCCATTCAATAGAGAGTCCAGTTCAAAGTGGATCTTGATTAAGCTAACAGGTTTTTGCTTAAGTTTTCTTTCCTACAGGAGAAGGAAATAACTGTCTTGAAATAGTTGGCTGTTGCTCAGATAATATGGTGGATATTGGCAATATAAGCATCTAAATGCCTCTTGAAGCATTCACTAAGTACATAATGGATTCTTGCAGGTCGGAGGTTTTCAGTTTACTTTTTCTTCATTGAGACTGGAGAAACTACTACACACTATTTTCTTACTTATTCTATTAAATTTAGTATTAAAATTGGGACAGAATTATTACCCTTTTCTGTTTGATTTATGTGGTATTTTGGCTTCCAATAAAGCATAACCATTTTTTCAATTTTTTTAGATGAAGCACAGGGTGATAAAGCAAAACAAAGTATCAGAACGAAGTGTACAGAATATCTGGACAGAGCAGAAAAACTGAAGGAGTATCTGAAAAAGAAAGAGAAAGCTCCAGCAAAGCCAGTGAAAGAGTCTGGTCCATCTGATGAAAAAGGGTATGTTCTTTGGAGACGGTAAAGCAAAATGCAATATTTTTCATGTTCCAAACTCAGCTGAAACGAAAGTTAAATATTTGAAAGAACATTTTAAGTAAGTTTAATGCGTGTAAAATGTATCAGATGAGCAATACTGAAGTACAATAACTAACCAAACAATATGGACAGCATATATACTAATACTACAAGCTTTCCTATGTTTCTTTACCAATATGCCTTAGCCCTACCATGGAAGATCCACTTGCAGTAACTCTCATGCAAGTAAATTAACTCATGTCTAGCAGGTCATTAGCCTTTCTGCTGGATGACAACTGTGGTGGCCTATGACATGGACACCTACCTACTTAAAATCTAGATCTTCAGAGCACCAGTGACTAGATTTAAACCACTGATAACTTGGGCCAGTTTTGAACATGTGCTCGAGAGGTCGAAGCTCTATATCACGTTCCCAATCCATTGCACCATCTAGACATATTTCTATTTGCCCAATTCTTGTTATTGGCAACAGTATTTGTTGGATATCTACATAATTACATTTATACCTAATATTTTATTTCTTCGTTGAAACTTAAAACTGCAGTAAAATTAAAGTGATTTGCAGGAAAAACTGTCCTTATTTGTGGCTTGTAATCAATCTGTAGAGAGGGTTTAAAGTTGTACTTGACTCAGATTGGTAACTAAATTCAGTTTGCACATTGCAGTATATCACATGTGACAATTAGGTACTGTCACTTCTCCCATATCAGAATCCAGGGATCCTTATTATTTCTGCAGAAGTTGATGGCCTCAGGGGACCCTAATGCAGCAGACAGTGTAGTGCTCTGCTTCAGATGCCTAATGTTTTCAATACTTGCAGGGGAAAAAAAAGTCTCCTGAACTCTGATGGTGGTAAGGAGGAGGAACTAATCTTATTTTCAGTGTTATTTTTTAAAGTTTTCTAAATGGACTGATCCCATGTTCAGTTATTAAACTGTTTGCAAGAGAGACAAGGTGGGTGAGGTAATATCTTTTATTGGACCAACTTCTGTTGATGAGAGAGACAAGCCTTCCAGCCACACAGAGCTCTTCTTCAGGTTTGGGCATCACAGCTAAATGCAAGGTGGAACAGATTGTTTAGCATAAATAGTTAGCACATGTTCTAAGGGACCATTTTAGGTAGAGTAGCCCATTAACATCTCACAGTCATAGGACAAAAAGAGGGATTAGTAGGTTACAGATTGTTGTAATTAGCCATAAATCCAGTGTCTCTGTTCTGTCCATGATTTTTGGTGTCTAGCAGCGTTATGAATTTAAGCTCCCAGGCTCGTCTTTTGAAAATGTGCAGGTTTTCTTTGAGGACTGATAGGTTAGACCTAGTGATTGCTTTGTTCGCTACAACTATACTGCATACAGTTTATTTGCCAAGCGTTCTAGTTTCCTTTTTCAGTGAATGTAGCTTGTCCCTGAAACTCTGAATACACACATGCCAGAACCCTTTCAAGCTATAGTACTGGTCAGCTGAGCAACAGTTGGTTTGGGATTTTTTTTATTTTGTAAAAGCTCAGAGATGCACCATGTTCCACATGCTTATTAGGATGGCTGTAAGGTTGTGCATATGGCATGCCCTCTGTGCTGCATTTTCACAAACCATGGATTTCCCTTACGTCTTCTCTTAATTCTTCTGCCAGAGCAGCATAAAGAGGGACATAGCTCTAGCTGGATCTGACCACTAACTCCAGTTGCTGCTCCAAACATATAGAGGATTGCTTAGATCTGCCTGCACTGAAAAAAGGACAATTGTACTTGTAATAAATCTAATTCAAAATAGTAAAAGTGGAATTTAGGCCATAAATATTTTCTAAAAATCATGGAAACATTAAAAACTCCATAGGAAAACTTATTAAAACATACTTCATTACAATTGTCAAAAATATTTTAAAGAAGAAATCATATTTTATATGAAGCTTAGAATGACACTTCTTGGCTTTATATTTTTGTCATGTGATTTTTAAAAATAAAACGACCTCATTCAACAGGGCTGTTGGGCCCTCAAAGAATCGACAGAATTCTGTTATAAAACGTAAAAAACACATTTCCCTGAATATCTCTACCAAAATGATGGAAGGTGTGAGGTAGACTGTAGTTTCCATTTACAAAATTGTTAGTCTTGTTGTGTAAGACAGGTGGCTTTCTTTGTAGTTGAACATCTTATTACTTGTGTCTGAATTAGGACTGACAGTGATGGGGAAGGAGAATCTGATAATCCTGAAAAAAAGAAACTACAGAATCAACTTCAAGGTAGTTCTGAAACTTTTTTTTTAAAGAAATAATTGTATCAAGTGACTTGTTAACCAACAGACCAAAATTGCCTTTTTGGGGAGGGGGTGTCTACAAAAGAGCTGTGGATTGACTTGCCACAGAGTATTTAAATACATAGAAATTCCTCTGTGCATTCACTATAAACTAATCTTTGGGATAGTCTGGATTTTATTAAATTGTGTATCATAATCCCTGTCTACGTCGATCCCCATTCTAACATGCGATGGAATTACTGCATGCACCCAGAGAGAACACTGATCCAAAGGGGAAAAGCTCCTTGAGGCCAAATGAATATTTATAGTTTTATCATTAGTACCTAGAGACTCAGGTCATGGTAGACCTCGCACAAGCACTTAGTATGAGACAGTCCCTGCCCCAATAAGCTTATAATCTAAATAGATAAAGATAAAGGATAGCTGAAAGACTTAATTTACTGATCCTTGATCTTTCTGATCACTAATAGTTTTCCCCCAGCCACTTAGTCCATGCTCCCCACCACAAGGGGGGGTTATTTGATGTTTGGCCAGAATATATCCTCTACTTCTCTTTTCCTTCCTGTTCAAGTTTCCCTTGCTTCTCAAACTTTTATGTAAAGGACAGTGTTTTACCTATGTATTTCTTCTCTCCCTTTCTCTTGGCATGCTCTGCCCACTGCCCATCTGGGAAGGGAGGGGATAGTGATTTGGGGTTTCTCCTCTTATCTCAGCACATCATTTTTGATTGGCTGAGATGAGTCTTCTATGTTTTGAAATCGAGCTTGAGGTCAGTGATTCAATGTAGCAGAAAACAGTAGCTTTGTACACAGTGGAAAAATGATTTGGCTTTTCTGTGTAGCTGATTTAGAGAATTCCAGCTGAATTTTGTATTATTGAAGAAATTCATTGGCAGAGAAATTTTAATGTTAAAGAACCAGTGACCTTGACACTGATCTTCCCTAATCCACATATTTTGTCATGTTCTGATCATCACTTTCACTTCAGCATTCAGATTTCCTGTAATCAACGTGTTATCAGCTGACTGTAGCATTCTTCAGAGTTTTTATCGTTGTGTAGTATAGCTGTTGTTCAGATTTAATAATGTAGTCTGCCCCAAAGGATCTTTGTATATTGATTATAGGCTTTCCATTCATACGTACTACTAAATCTCTGTCTGTGTTTATATAACCACTGGTAGTCTGTTGTGATTCAAGGCACTTATAATAATCTGAAGTAGAACATTCAGTATGCTGTTTGATATTTCTTTGGCCCAGGGGGGCCTTGTGAGAATGCCCTGGGTGCATGAAGAGCATCCAGGGCATTTTGAATATGGAAAAAAATACATGTGGGTAATGATTGTTTCAGAGTTTAAGATTATATTTTTCCATACTGACATGAGTAGTGATTCTCTTTGAAGGGTTTAATCCATTTTGGTCATTCAAGACTGTACTCCACTGTGTGGTACTATCATTGTGACCAAATCAGAGAGATTTGTTTCTAAATGACTTCGTCAATCTTGTAAAACTATGATCCATGATTACTTATTAATCTTTCCATATACCCCAGGCCTATTTTACCTTTTAGCAGCGCAACTCTTTTAAATGTGCTGAGTAGATTCAATATAATCTCATTCATTGCGGTGCTAGACCCCTCTGATCTCTCTCTTCTCCTCTCACCCCTCCCCCCCCCTCCGTTTTTTCCCCCCAACAGTGTTTAAAACACGTTAAGCGCTCAGTTCACAATGGAATAGTCTAGCACAGACTTCATTTTAATTCCTGGCAGTTGGCCTCTTGGTCCATTTACGCAGTATTTGTTACTTCTTCTCCTGTATAGTTCTTATGCTGTGGAAGAATTTATACTCTGAGGCAGGTGAAAGCTAAGAGAAGGACCCATAGAGTTTCAAGGCAGGTCAGGTCTGTGAAATTCCTGAGCTTGGTTAGAAAAACTAGAAGAAGCTCTTCTGAGCAGTCTTTTGTTCTGTGGAAACTCTAGATTTGTCTGCTCTTAAGTTGTGATCTGGAGGTGGGATTACTGCCACCAGGGATTCTTGCAAGAGCTTCCAGATTGTGCCCTTGTGGAGCACGTAGACATGAAGAGCTTGAACTGCCCCTCTTTCCTGTGGAAATGCTTGAACTCTGAGGGGCCTGGCACTGCTGTATGGTGTTTTGGGAGACCATTTTTTTACTTTTTGAAATAGATTTATTTGCTTGCCCCTCTTTTTCTTGTAGTAGGATATCCTATTTTCCTGCAAATGGGAAGCTCTGATTCCTAGCTTTATTTCATGTAAGGTTTTCAGCAGCAGTGGACAATTGTTTACCTTGGGAGTTTTCTGCAGCTGTCTTTTTACTGTTCTCTTGTGGCTGTTTGTCCTTGACTGTTTTTGCACAATCTACTTCACAGAAAGTCTGGATATTCTTCCAGATCAAACTGATCCCCAAAAGTGTCTGCTACAGCAACTGCTCTGAATAGCTTTGTCTTTCATTCATGAGAATTTCATATGTTTGATGCTTCCAAATCTCTAACACCTTTTGTGGAAAAGGTGTATCCCTCTGCCATCTCTCACAAGGTGGAATCCTCTATATCCTTTTTGTTCCATAAAGCTACCCTTTCAGCTGCAGTGTTTATTTTTCCTATTGAACCTGCAGATTGGAAAACTGAAGTGGCTGTTTGAGACTCTTTACGACAGCTATCAGGTCCTTCATACTTCCATTTACTCTGTCTTCTTGGTAAAAATTCTTTTTAGAAGGATCTCAGGAACCTTTTGAAATATATTCCCCAGGAGTTCTCCTTAGGCAAAATATTTTGTCTATCTTGTGACCCTGCTCTGGATAAGTTGAGCCTCTTTGCCAGAGATGTCAGTTATTAATGGAAAAAAATAGGAAAACTAATATAACTTCCAAATCCAGTGTTGTTAGATTACTCTTCAATGATGCACAATTATTTGGAGCTGCCCTACATAAAGATGTTTATGAATCTAAGAAGACTTTCTCTTTCGTGGTTTTTCTGTTTGCTTTTTGAGCTTAAACATCAAATCCTCTCACCTAAAAGATTTTTCAGCTGCATAGTTTCAAGAGCTACTTTACCCAATTTACAACCAAGTATCATGCTCTTTTAATACCTTTTACATACAGATCCAATCCCATTTATAATCTCATTATGGAACAGAGGTTTTATTTATATTTTAAAATTTTGAGAGAAAATGACTGCTGCCTGGGGTTTATTAGTATTTTATACCCTTGCCCACTGATGATGGAGTTTCAGTACCAGCCCACATGAATGTAATTATTTCAAGAAACTGGATATCTCAAACAGACACTTCTGTGTTGACTCACCTGTTATTTTGTGGGAGTCAACACAGTTTCTTTTTTTTTTTTTTTTTTTTTTGTAGAATTCTTTTCAATTGTTTTGTTGCTCCAAAAATCTGTGGACTTGAGACCTATTTCAGATTTTATGGTTTTCACCAAACTAACAAAAGAACCCAGTTAGTTCACACCATTGTATAGGCCATTTCTCTAAACTCTTATCTTGACTCTTGGGTATCCTTCAAATTACTAATCTTCATGCTCACCACCGACCAGTGTTGCCACAGGCATTTCCTGTTAGCTTTGCTCTCTTTTCATAGATTCATAGATTCTAGGACTGGAAGGGACCTCGAGAGGTCATCGAGTCCAGTCCTCTTATCTATGTTAATGTTGGCCTTTGGGATTTCCCTAATCCTGTGGATATTTACCATGATCCAAGATGTAATAGCAATATGATTTAGCAAATCTGGGCATTGTCATCAATATACAGACTGGCTGGTAGCAGTGAATTTCTGTCTTTAGGTCACTTAAGTGGAAAGCCCCACTTAGAGGCCTTTGGGACTCACTGTTTCCTGATCAATCCAGTCCATTTAATCCTTCGAGAGAGGGAGGAAAAAAATCATCTTTTTTTATAGTCTAGGCAAGGCCCCAATATGCTCTTACGTACATAGACCTCAAAGTGCTTTACGAAGGAGGCTTTATTCGCATCTTACAGATGAGAACACTGAGGCCCAGAGAGGTGAAGTAACTTGACCACAGTCACCCAGTAGACCAATGGCACAGCCAGGAATAAAACCCATGTCTGAGTCATCCCAGTTATGTGCTCTGTCCCCTGGGCCACACTGCTTTACATAAGGGCTAGCCATTTTATTTTAAATAGAAGCTTAAATTCTGCAGAAACTACCTGGGCTGATTTAGAGGACTAAGGCAGGCAATGCCTATTTACACACAACCAAATGATGTTAAAGAGCAGTGTTCTGTCCCTAGGAAACTGGCACTTGCTGGCCAAATCCTGGTCTAACTCTAGTTAGCCACAACAGAACTTGAACCCTGCTTAAGTACTGTGGTTAAACATTGCTGAAATCTGTACATGCTGCAGTCTGTTCATGGAAGCCATGCTGGAATTGACGAGCAGCAGTTCATATGTGAACAGGGTCCAAGATTTTAATTCTTGATAATGACAGCAGAGGCTCTTTGGAAAGGAATGTACCTTACTAGTTTATCTGATCTCTTATTTTATAGGTGCCATTGTTATGGAGCGACCAAATATAAAGTGGGGTGATGTTGCTGGTCTTGAAGGAGCCAAAGAAGCACTTAAAGAGGCAGTGATATTGCCCATTAAATTTCCTCATCTATTTACAGGTGAAATAAATTAAATATACATTCTTGGTCCTAATGGTTGCAGTTTGGGGGAGAGGTGTGGCTGGCGAGGTGTGAGAAGTGTTTTACACTGTCATCGTGGTGATCTATGTCTAGCTGTCCTCTAAGAGCTTCTGTTCCATAGTCCGGTGGGTTGTGTATGCTGAGATGGTGGGAGCAGTTGCGGAAATTGTATTGGGAGAAAGGAGAGGTTGGTTCAAGAACAACTCCTCTCACAGGATAACTTTAAATACAGTGATATTATAAGCTGCATTTCTATTACACATTTGCTAACGTTGGAAAACTGATGATTGGTATCATTAATAAAGCGACAAGTTATATATGAATCTAAATGATGTAAATACAACAGATACTAACGTCTTTCAACTGCAAAAGTGAATAAATATATAAAGAATTTCACAAGCTTGGATGAGGGTTCATTTTTCTACCAAGTTCTATACCAAACTGATCCTTGTATCAAAATTCTTCAGGCAAGTCCTTTTTCTTTTTCTTTTTCTTTTATATATATAACTTTCTTAGGAAAGAGAACACCTTGGAGAGGAATTCTTCTGTTTGGGCCACCAGGAACAGGAAAATCTTACTTGGCAAAAGCTGTGGCAACGGAAGCCAACAACTCTACATTCTTCTCAATATCCTCCTCTGACCTTGTCTCAAAATGGTTAGGAGAGAGTGAAAAGTAAGTAGCTCAGCTGATTTTTTTTTTTTATACTAAATGGTTTTATTTGATTCTGAAACACTGCAATCTACTGTCAGCCGAGGTTCAAGAATGTAATCACTACTATTTTCTTTTTTCAAATAATTGCACAACTTCATGATGCTTTCAAAAGTAGGTAACATTTGAGGTAGTTTGTATACTAGAGCTGGCCCAAAACTCATAATTTTAGGTTTTTGAAAAATTTCAGAGTTTTGAAATTTCCCATGAATGGGGAATTAAAAAAAATTTTTGCTTTGGAAATGTCAAAACGTAGTGTTTTTGTAATGAAATATTTTTTCCCAGAGATCACTGGCAGCTCCTGAGTGAACAGACATCATTCTTGTCCAGTTCGCTCTGGAGCTGTTGGAGGATTAAGGGATCGGCAGCTCCTGGGCAGCCTGACTTCACAGCCTGGGGAGCCAGATGCCCCGAGAGTCTTCCAGGCTCAGCGGCAGGGTACCTGGTAGCCCTGAGAGCACTGGCTCGAGCCATGCCTTCCAGAGCTTCCAGGCTCCGTGCTACAGGGCTGAGCCCTAATTAGAGCCAGGGGTCCCCAGGCTGGGGGGCAGCGCACATGATGGGGCAGCAGACTCAAACCCAGCAGTCTGTCAGTCAGGTTCTTGTTAGTCATTTGATGAAAGTTTTGTAAAAACCCAAACTTTTCCTGAAACATCTCAGGTTCACAAACCAGCACTTTCCTTGGAAAATTTCTGGCAGGCTGTATTATATAGGTCTCATTAAAATAAACCGAAAAAGGACAGGAAACTTAGTTTCTTCCCCACATCAACCTTGACTCTCTTCTACAGCTGTGCATGAAAAGAGGGTCTTCACTATATGTGGTCCTTGGTTTGGATCCTTTATTATGAGGATCATTTTTCTCCCTCCTGTGTTGTAACAGAACTTGGGCGATTTATTAAAAGTGACCTTCAAAGGAGAAAAATGGTAAATATTGGCCAACTATTTTTGCTTCTTAAAGGTGTACACCCCCAGCCCAGAGCCCTGACCCTGTCCCGCACCTCAACCCCCTACCCCAAACCCTGAGCCCCCTCCTGCACTCCAAACCTTTCATCCCCAGCCCCACACTGGAGCTGGCCCTGCTGCTGGCCACTTCGGGGAGTGCACTTTAAATATTCCTGTTGTTCATATCCGTTGAGTCAGGGTACTGGCGGCGATGGAAAAGCAGGAAAGATATAAAAACCCCAGGTTGACTTTTATTTGGCAATTAGAAAACACCATTTTTTCACTTGTAAACGGAACAAATTTGAGAGACAGACCTGGTATTTGACACCATTTTTAGTCACTTTTCAGAGCTTTACCTGAGACTTCTCCATTTTAAATTATTGGCATCAACTTTTATATTAATCAGATTTTTTCCTGAACAAATAAATATGAAAATGTGTAATATCTCAGGCATATCAACCCTTGTGGCTACTTCCTTCACCTAAAGAGAATTATTGTGCTACCAGACACAGAAGTCATTATTCAGTTTTACTCTTTCAAAGTCTCTTGAGTTGGTTAGATTACATTTAATATGTAACAGAACAATACATTTGTTTCTTCATGTGTTCTGCCCAGCTTGTAAAGGACCAAAAGCAAACATAAACAGATCTTTCACTAGCTAGAACATGTCTGAAGCACTATACTTTATAGTCCTCATTTCCCTCCAGCATTGCCAGATGACTTTGATTAGAGTGAAGCATCATTTACAGAGCTAAAGAACTTTGCCTCTTGAGGATCCTCAACTGCTTACTTAAAATCATGATTATGAACCTTGATTCCTTATCCCGTGGTAAGCTTGATATGATGCAGTACAATAATATCGTCTTGCTGTCTTCTCATGGGGGATAACTTAATTTTTTTTCTAGATTAGTGAAAAACTTATTCCAGCTTGCCAGAGAAAACAAACCTTCTATTATCTTCATTGATGAGATAGATTCTCTGTGTGGATCAAGAAGTGAGAATGAAAGTGAGGCTGCCAGACGAATTAAAACAGAATTCCTAGTTCAGATGCAAGGTAAGATTAATGGCTTTAAGGAACAGTTAATTAAAGCAATTAATATCAATTTTGGCTTGTTTGATACACAGTTTGGATAAGATTACTGAAGATAATTTGTAGTTTTTTCAAGATGTTTTAAAATGCTTTTATAAAAGTGTTTACATTATTAAATATTACCTGTTCTGGTGTAGGGGTTGGTGTAGACAATGAAGGAATCTTGGTTTTGGGAGCTACAAACATACCCTGGGTTCTGGATTCTGCTATCAGGAGAAGGTAACTTATAACAAAACGTGTATTGTCCTATAAAATATGCAACTTCACACCATACAGCACAGAGTGTTGGTTTTTTTTCAATTCACTAGTGATTAGGTGGTGGCTTAATCGGTGAATGTTCGGAATCCTGCTTTAACTACCTTGTATGGGAGACCTGAATATCTGTACACTGGAAAACTCTCCAATTCCTTTACAGTAGATCCTGAATGTGTGGGCAGGGGGTCCTGTGGTCACCTTAAATAATACCAGTCAGGCCAGTGTTTGGTTGCATGCAATATGTGCTGGTGCCATGTAGGTCTCTGCCCCTTTATCTCCCTCTTCTCACATACACAGAGATCTGATTTACCTCAGTTGAAAACACCTACTTAGTCTAGTCCTGAGGTTTTCTTGAGCAAAGAATGGCAATTAGGCTGAAGTGGATTCAATAGAGAAGCTAATTTTCTGGTCTCTGTAAGTTTGGTAAAGCGCTAGTGCATGGACTTGTTGCACCACCTACCTCCTAGCTCAGTGGTTTTCAAACTGCGAGTCACGACCCAGTACTGGGTCACATAATGTAAGGCACTGGATCATGGTTGCTCTGGTCAGCACTGCCAACTGGGCTGTTAAAAGTCCCATTGGCGGTGCTGCCTGGCTAAGGCAGGCTAGTCTCTACCTGTTCTGACACTGCGCTGTACCCCGGAAGCAGCCAGCAGCAGGTCCAGCTCCTAGGGTGGGGGGAGGGGGAGATGACGAGCCATGGGGCTCTGTGCAGTGCCCCTGCCCCGAGCACCAGCTCTGCACTCCCATTGGCCGGTTCCTGGCCAATGGGAGCGGGTGGGGGGAAGCGGTACCTGTGAGCGAGAGCCACGCGGAGCTGCTTGCACGCCTCCACCTAGGAGCCGGTCCTGCTGCTGGCCACTTTGGGGAGGGGGGGTGCAGTGCAGTCCACGATGCCAGGACAGGGAAGAAGCCTGCCTTAGCATCCCCGGTGCGCCGCTAACCGGGAGCCACCTGAGGTAACCTCACGCCCCAATCCCCTGCCCCAGCCCTGAGCCCCCCCAAACCCAGAGCCCCTCCCTGCACTCCAAACCCCTCATCCCCAGACCCACACTAGAGCCTGCACCCCCAGCCCAGAGTCCTGCCCTCTCCTGCAACCCAAACCCCTCATCCCCACACCAGAGCTTGCACCCCGCCCGGAGCCCCTTCCTGCACCCCAAAACCCTCATCCCTGGGCCCACCCCGCACCCTTCACCCCCGCCTGGAGCCCCCTCCTGCACCCCAAAATCCTCATCCCTGAGCCCACCCCGCACCCTTCACCCCCGCACTCCAACTCTCTATCCCAGCCTTGAGCCCCTCCCACACCCCAAACCCCTCATCCCCAGCTCCATTGGGTCATGGGCATCAACAATTTTCTTCAGCTGGGTCGCCAGAAAGAGAGTTTAAAACCACTGCACTAGCTAATATTTTTTGGCAACTTTTCCAGCATTGAAAAATGAGAATACCTTGTGCTTTGCATGCATGCATTTTGGGGAAATAATCCCAGCAGTCTAAGAACAATAGTCACTGTGCTTGTCAGGGAGAACTGCAGTTCTAAAAGCCTCCTAGTAATACCATATCAGGAAGAAGGCTTGATTAAGGTACTAAAATTTGTAGCAGAGTCTCACTGAACATGCCCTGAAGTTACATTTCAGTTGATTAACTTTTTTTAAAATAGCTTTGTAAACTTAAGAGACATTATGAATAGAGGGAAGTCAAGTTGTTCAGCCATACTTTGGTTAATTGAGCAAAAAAGCTGTTTTAACACTCCATACCTCAAAAATATTGAAGGGATTTTTGTCCCTTGAGTTCCTTCTAGAAACAAAATCTGTCATCTGTGACTAAGGATTTGTCTACATGGAGATTTAGTGTGCAACAAACCAGGGTGTAAATCTACAGCTTACTAACTGGCAGTGTGGACCCTACTACCGTGCATTATGGGCACATCTGCTCTACAGGCAAGGGGTGTGATTCCCCTGCTTGTGTACACATGTTCTCACCAAGCTGGTGCGAGTATAAACAGCAGGATAGCCATGGTAGCATGGGTAGCAGCAGCAGAGGCACAGCTTAGCTGTGCTGAGGACTCACCCTACAGTTTCAGGTGGGGTACATATGCTGCATGGCTAAGCTATGCCTCCACTGCCGCTACCCGTGCTACCATGGCTACGCTGCTGTTTATACTCAGGCTAGCTTGATGAGAGCTAGTGCAAATATGCGTACATGAGCAGGGGAATCACATCTGTGCCGTGTAGCTGGAGCCTAAAAGTTACATAATATGCTTTGATGTACTGCTGTTTCAAACATAAAGCACACTATGGAACTTCTACTGCATGGTAGCAGGGTCCGTGTAACCAGTTAGTGTGTGGCAAGCTAGTGCACTATAGATTGACACCCCTACTTGCCATGCACTAAGTCTCCATGTAGACATGCCGCAAACATGGGATAATTTTCAAACCCAAGGGAAGATTTCTCAGTCATGAAAATGAAGAAATGGGGTTATAATATTCTGAATGTAATTTTAATTAGTGTTTGCTACTATGGATATTACAGTACTTTTTTTAGCAGACTTATAAAATAAACAGTGCTAATGTTCCACACTCTCACTTCACACGCACAGACATTCTTAAAGCTATAATGCTCAGATTGCTTCCTTATTCTTTCTAGTTCTGTTAGACCATTTGTCGATTTGCATGAACTGCTTTCCATCAAGTACCTGCAAGAGTCAGTGTTTGTGGCTTTTTTAAATTAAGGTTTGAGAAGCGTATTCATATTCCTTTGCCTGAGGACCACGGTAGGACTGCTATGTTTAAGCTTCACCTTGGGAGTACCCCAAACAGCCTGACAGAATCAGACTATCGAGAGCTTGGAAAGAGAACTGATGGCTATTCTGGTGCTGACATAAGCGTCATTGTCCGCGATGCACTGATGCAGCCTGTTAGGAAAGTGCAATCAGCCACTCACTTTAAGAAAGTAAGTATGTAAAAAAAATAAGTTGCAGAATTTCCAACTCTTAGTTTCTGGAGTTCAAATCTCCTTTTATTTTGAGATTTTTGGCAATTGAGCTTTTAACTTGTGGTTGATTAATGTTACTTGTATGTGAATTTTCATATGCTTTTAATCTACAAAAAGAATGTACATGCTAGGACAAAATGCTTTTCTCTTAGCTCTGTTTCAGAGAACTGGTCTGAGCATGGCACAGGGATCCAGGAGTCTGTAACTTGTATTCCTGGCTCTGACAAATTTCCTGACTGCTGCTTAAAGGGACACCATCAACTTTGAAATCATCCACTTAAAACCACGTTAAAAGTAGTTACCTTCAGGTGTTAATGTCTTCCCTGAGCTCCATGAGAATTGGCAAAGGCTTTTATATTTGCACTTTCCTATTGTATTTCTCTTTCTTGTTGCTATAAGAAAAACCCATACAGATGGCAATTGTTTATACAGGAGCGCTGAAAAATCTGCAAAGGAAATAAACAGGCTTTTCTCCATCTTTAAACTCTAACAATCTTAGGGGTTAGTTGGGACAATAATGGGTAAAAAAATATTTTGAGTGACTTTTTTTTAAGTTGATGGTGTCACCTGAGCTCTGAGCAGGGTCTGTATGTCACTATTTGGACAACACCTAACATCTTGTGGATTACTGTCTTAGCACTTAACACAATGAAAGAACTTTTAAAACTGCAATGGGATTCCATGTGTATTGTCTTGCAAGGATTTCTATGTCAAATACACCAGAGGTGAGTGGGAGGGTCCAGTGGCCGATGATGGGGGGTGAGTGTGCAAGGTTGGTGGTGGAACACCTGCTGGTCTGTCAGTGCAGCCCCCACTGCATGCCAGCTCTCTGCCAGCAGGGTGTCTCCACCCCCTAACCCCCCCAATCCTGTTTCTGTCAGACACTGGCTGTGCACTGCGGTGGCTGGTGAGTGCAGGCAGGCAGTGGCCGGTTGCGTCACCTCGGATGACCACCCATTGGCCCTTTACGTGCTCCCTCTCTTGCTGTCCTCTCCCTGCTTTGCCTCTTCACCCCCTGCTCCAACCCGTTGCTCCTCCCTATCCGCCCCTGGCAGGGCGGGTCCCGCTCCCAGTGCTGCGCTGAAACCCCCTCGTCGGAGTGCTCAGCTTACCAACAGCCTGGCCGGCAGGCTCCTTCCTTCCCCCACTGCCTCTGGCTGGGCTGGCACCCTGGGAAAGTCAAAGACCTTCCGGCCCAGGGCGCTGGCCAGGAGGAGCCGAGCCCTGCATGTGCCAAAGCCCTGCACAGCGCTGGCACAGGGAAGCCTCTCCACTCCTCAACTAATTCTGGAGTGGTGGAGGGAAGTGATTTTCAGCCTGTTCACGCCCCGATCCTATAGGCTCCACAGCATCCCCCCTCCCCCGAGCAGGGGCTTAGCACCCTCTTTACCTGCCCTGGGTCCTGCCCCCAGGGAGCACGGGGCTGCTTTGTCTTCTAGGCATCCTCCCCTGCTGAGCCACCTCTCTGACTGGGTTCACTGAAGCGCCAGCAGTCAGGTTCCCCAGTGTATCCTTAGGGCTTAACCCCTTCCTGCCCGCACTGTAGCTGGTGGACAGGAGGTGGCTAGGTTATGTTGGTGGCCCACAGCAGCCTGGAAGTGTTAGCTGCCTTTCGACACTGTGCAGGCAGGAAGGGACAAGCTGCTTCCAGCCACAGGGGAGGAGGTAGATGAGATGAGCTCTGCAAGGACACGGGCCAGGTCATCCCTTCCCACCCTCCTTCTCCCCTGCGGCTGGAAGCAGCTCCCATCCCTTCCCTCCTACACAGTGCAAAAAGGCTGCTGCTGGTCACATTCTGGGGTGAATCGTGGCAGAAATCTGGTGAGGGGGGCATGTGACCTTGCATGTTCCCTCCACATGTTGCCTCGGAAAGACACGGCACCAGGTACCGGGAGGTAGGTCTGTCCCAGGGGTCCAGCTAGGCATGGAGGATGGAGAGCGCCGGGCAGGGAGGGTTGGTTCGTACACGGACACACGCGCTCTCTCTCTCTCTGTACAGGAATGTGTGTGTCACCTCTCCCTGTGGAGGGGTGGGGGTGTTTGTCACCTCTCCCCATGTGAACCCTAAAGCCTTAAAGATAAGAAGCTAAATAGAAAGAATCCAAGTACACAGGATTTCTTTTTAACAGGGGCTCTGTTAACTTGATGTTAATTTGAATGTTTGTACTACATAGTTCTGATTGATTGACGTTGGACTTGCTTGAATATGAGAAATTTTACCAGGTGTCCCATATTCGGCATAGGGAAATATGGTCACCCTAGAGGGTAATGTCTTTTGTTCAAATTAGAAAAACTTTTACACTTCTACCCTGATATAACGCGGTCCTCGGGAGACAAAAAAAATCTCACCGTGTTGTAGGTGAGACCGTGTTTATATCAAACTTGCTTTGGCCACACACACACCCGTTCCTTGTTCCCTGACTGCCCCCTCCAGAGACCCCCATCCCTAATCACCCCCATTGCAACTGATCCCTTCCCCCGAGCCTCCTCGCCCGAGCGACACGGTTGGGGCCGGGGCGAGGGAAGCAGAGCGGGTTGCTCCCGGTCCCCCGCTAATCCCCCCGGGCCACTCTGGGACTGCGGGGCCCTCAAAAGTGCCCTCCCACAGCTCCTGCCCCCCAGATCCTGGGGGGGGGGAAGCCCCTGACCACCCCTGAGAACCTCTGCCCCTTATCCAACCCCTCTGCCCCGGACTGGCCCGGCACCCTTAACACGCTGCTCAGAACAGCGTGTCAGAGCTTTACCATGTTGTATGTGAACCCGCCTTATATCGGGTCGCGTTATATTGTGGTAGAGGTGTATTAGATGGAAATTAATTCACACATGGTGAGTTTTCTTAGTAGAGCCTAAATTAAACTGAACTCCTACAATTATTTTTGGTTGACGCTAGGGTTCTCCTCCTATATCACCTTCAAAGTAACAGAGTCAGCCTCACAACACCTATGGCAAGGAGAGAGATATTCCTGTTTTTACAGATGAAGAAATTGAAGCACTGCTGTTAAGGCTCTATGTACACTACAAAAATTGTATTGAAGACACAGTTGTCCCTCACCTAATTAGAACACAGTTAAAATTTGTAAGATGCACTGGCCTCAGACATGATTTTAGACTGATAACAAACGACAATGTACAATACCATTGTCAGCACTAGTTACACTACTTAAAAACCTAGTAAGTTAACTTTGGTCATATATATTTTGGATATATGACTGTGGAAATAATGTATAAACTAGGGCTGTCAAGCAATTTAAAAAGTTAATCATGATCAATCACACTGTTAACCAATAATAGAATACCATTTATTTAAATATTTTTGGGTGTTTTCTACATTTTCAAATATATTGGTTTCAGGTATAACACAATACAAAGTGTACAGTGCTCACTTTGTATTTATTTTTTATTACAAATATTTGCACTGTAAAAAGCAAAAGAAATAGTATTTTTCAATTCACCTAATACAAGTACTGTAGTGCAAACTCTTTATCATGAAAGTTGAACTTACAAATGTCGAATTATGTACAAAAAGAAACGGCATTAAAAAATAAAACAATGTAAAACTTTAGAGCTTATAAGTCCACTCAGTCCTATTTCTTGTTCAGCCACTCACTCAAACAAGTTTGTTTACATTTGCAGGAGATAATGCTACCTGCTTCTTGTTCACAATGTCACCTGGAAGTGAGACCAGCTGGTCTCATGGCACTGTTGTAGCTGGTGTTGCAAAATATTTACATGCCAGATACTCTGGAGATTCATACGTCCCTTCATGCTTCAACCACCATTCCAGAGGACATGTGTCTATGCTGATGACTAGTTCAGACGGACGAATGTTCATTCTCATTATCTGAGTCAGATGCCGCCAGCAGAAGGTTGATTTTCTTTTTTTGGTGGTTCGGGTTCAGTAGTTTCCGCAGCGGAGTGTTGCTCTTTTAAGACTACTGAAAGCATGCTCCACAGCTTGTCCCTCTCAGATTTTGGAAGGCACTTCAAATTCTTAAACCTTGGGTCGAGTGCCGTAGAAATCTCACATTAGTACCTTCTTTGCATTTTGTCAAATCTGAAGCAAAAGCGTTGTTAAAATGAACATGTGCTGAGTCATCATCCGAGACTCCTATAACATGAAATACATGGCCGAATGCGGGTAAAATAGAGCCGGAAACATACAGTTCTCCCCCAAGGAGTTCAGTCACAAATTTAATTAACGTTTGTTTGTTTGATTTTACGAGCGTCATCAGCATAGGAGCATGTCCTCTGGAATTGTGGCCAAACCATGAAGAGGCATACAAATGTTTAGCATATCTGGCATGTAAATACCTTGCAATGCTGGCACAAAAGTGCCATACAAATGCCTGTTCTCACTTTCTGGTGACATTGGAAATAAGAAGTGGGCAGCATTATCTCCCATAAATGTAAACAAACTTGTTTGTCTGAGCAATTAGCTGAACAAGAAGTAGGACTGAGTGGACTTGTAGGCTATAAAAGTTTACATTGTTTTGTTTTTGAGAGCAGTTATGTAACAACAACAAAATTACATTTGTAAGTTGCACTTTCACGATAAAGAGATTGCACTATAGTACTTGTATGAAGTAAATTGAAATACTGCGTTCTGTTTATCATTTTTACAGTGCACATAGTTGTAATGAAAAATAATATAAAGTGAGCAGTGTATACTTTGTATTCTGTGTTATAATTGAAATCAATATATTTGAAAATGTAGAAAAACATCCAAAATAGTTAATAAATATCAATTGGTATTCTATTGTTCAATAGTGCGCTTAACATTGCGATTAATTTGAGTTAATCATGAGTTAACTGCGAGTAATCGACAGCTGGTTGCCCTGTAAGCTGCATAGCCGCGCAGCAGGCTATTTAGGACCACGCAGGTCCCCCAGCCCCTCCAGAGTTGCCCGGGAGAGGAGCCCCTCCCCAGGCCCATTGGAACTGCTGCGGTTGGGGAGAGGTGCCCCAGCCCAGGCCTGCCGGTGCTGCCGTGGCCAGGGAGAGGAGCCCTTAGCCCAGCCCAGCCCCGCTGGAGCTGCTGCGGTGAGGAGAGGCACCTCTTCCCCCCCCCAGCCCAGGTGCTGCTGGGGGGGAAGTGCGCTCACTCTCTCTCTCTCCCCTCCCCCCTCCCCCCCCCGCTGTAGCCCCGGGGCAGGGCAGCCTGCACCCCACCCAGTGCCCTCACCCCCTCGCATCCCAACCCTCTGCTCCAGCCCTGAGTCCCTCATCCCCATACACACACCAGCCTTCTTCCCCAGCCCTGAACCCCCTCACACACTCCAAACCCCTTGGCCCCACCCCGCCACATCAATTTTGTTATGTGCACCAGTATGGTGCACATAACAAAATTCATTCCGCACAAGGGTGGGAAAAATTATACTAGGGCTGTCGATCAGTGTTCCCTCTAAAGATTACTTTTTTTTCTCCCACTAGATGGCCCTACTTTCCATCTCAAGTTCTGTAATGCAGGAGCTGGAAAGCGGCTCCGAAGACTCTGTGGAGCAGTAGCTGAATGTTTACAAGGGACCTGTGGGGATTTCCTATCTGCTATGCACTCTAGGATGACTATCCAGATGTTACGGGAAGGCTGATAGTGCTGGGTGATCTGCCCCTACTATTACCAGAAAGTGGAAAGGGTGTTAGCTGTAACCCTTGGCACTCTTAGCATTTCCCTAATCCAGTTTATAGGTTCGTATAGTTGCTTCTCAGAAGCGCTTCAAGCAACTTCTTTGGCACTGATAGTCGTCTACAAGAACTTAAACCTTAATCCCCAAAGAAGCAACAGATAAGATTTCTGTGAAGTGTCCTGTATGTTCAGCTGTTACTGCCACCACCCTCATGGTCAAAAAAGATCTGGCTTCTGTTTCACAGGACTTCAGCAAGAAAGTGGAGCCTACTAGTGGGAGGGAAGTCAGACTAAAAAGAGGGCACTCTTTTTAAATAAGGCCAACATTTATTTCAATTGTCAAGAATCTCATATGTGTCAACTGTAGTTACTAAATATTAACACTTTTTGAAGACATAAGATCTAACAGGTGGTTTACCAATAGAGAACCTTTTGGAAGGTGAGAATAAAATAACTTCCCCCTCTCCCACTCCTTGCATAGTAAATAGTGAAAAGTTCTCTCAACATTAATTACTTTCTGCAGCAAATAATGTATTGATTGGCATTTGGGGTTTTTTTTATCTTCTGTCTGTGGTCTATAAGTTTGTTTTTTTTCTAGAATGCTTCACTTGTATGTATTTTTTTTTTTTTTTTTTTTTTAATTTATTTCCAGGTAAGAGCACCATCGCTGACTGACCCAAATATTTTGGTAGAAGACATGCTTACTCCGTGCTCCCCAGGTGATCCTAATGCCATTGAAATGACCTGGATGGATGTCCCAGGGGATAAGCTGTTGGAGCCTGTTGTTTCCATGGTCAGAATTTTGTTTTTATTACGAAATGTGTTGCTTCATGCTTCATAGAACTTTATCATAATCTTAAAGCAAAGTTTTCCACACGTGGGTGCTTGAAGTTAGGCACCTAAATTAGTGGCCTGGTTTCAGAAGGGCTGAGCACACCCATCAGCACTCAGTTAATCCCAGCATGCTATTTTAGTCATGAGTCTGGTACAGTTTGTTCAACAATTGTAAGCCCTTTTTGCTATACAGAGCCAACTCTCCCCACCCTGACTTACAGCTTCCCTGTATTCATCCTGCCCATCAGCTGACATGCAGCTAGAACCTTTCTCTTATCAGCTGTTAATTGTGTGGTAGCCTACCAGGTGGCTCCTCCACTGTGCATCCCTGCTTTTCTGTGGTCCCTACCACCCAAACACCCCTCAGTTTCCTCCCCTCTGTTATCACTGATTTTTTCCATCACTGTCATCCCTGAATCTCAGGATTGTATTGCTGTATTGAGAGAATATGGTCAATTGTTATACTGCAGGCTGGTGTTTACAGTTTGAAAATAATGCTGAAAACTCCTATTACCACATACAATTTTGTGACAAGTGATTATATATGTATATAATGGTAGTTTCAGTGGATTTTGCATAAAGATGTATGAGGGTCCCCTCTTCTCTTCTCCCCCACCCCCCAATACTAGTCTCTTTAAAAAAATATTTTTTAGTCTGGAGCATAGAATACATTTATCATGTGTAGAGAAACAATTTTTGGCTCACTCGATTTCAGTTCAGTCAATATAGCAAAATCTGTTACAGGACACTTATTGCTGCCATATTTTTCCAAGAGTTGCAAGACCAGATCTATACAAAATAGAGGATATAGGTATATTTGGCTGGAGGGAGAGTTGGGAAGAGATTTGAGCTGCCACTGTCCATGTTGTACCTATTCAAGTAGTGAAAGAGAGATTTTATCAGATCATCAGTGCTCATGAAATTTAAAAGCACTAACTGGGGTATCTTAGCTAAAACTTGTACTCAGAGTAAAAGTAATCTGCATTGGGGGACTTTTAATTTGTAGTAGGTTTATCTCAGAGTAAATAGGATTTAGCCCCAAGGCACTAGTTGCCTACTGGGCAGGATGCCACCTCAGCTTCTTATGATTACCCATTCATCTCAAAAATAGAAAAAAATAAAATAAATAAAGCAATCACGCATTTATAAGCTGTCAGTTGAATGACAGACACCTTTGAGATGGCATCTCTGGCATGACTAGGGAGTTCTGAAAGCAGTAGCCAGTCGTAGCATGAGTCTATTTGCTGCACTTACAGAGAACTTTATATGGTTCTGGGTGTGTGTTTGACCCTGCTCTCTTAGTTTGTTTTTAAATATTCTATACTATTTTTCACCATGGATGTCTGACTTCTTGCATTTTACTGTCTGTATCAGAACTTCTATGTGAAACTGACCAGTCTAATTTTGCCATCCATTCTGATGCAATTCTTTAGTGTTGAAAGCCTCTATAGTTGGAATTAACTTTTTTTTAGAAACTATCTCTTTACTTAGGTTTCAGTGCTTCTCCATCTCCTTTCCAAAAACAAACAAAAACTAAAAATTAACACTAGCCATATTGTATCTGTGCCCCTTCAGGGTATTTGCATAAGTTAGTCATACACAGATGTGTGTGTGCACACCCAATTTTGCAAGTCTAGCCCTGCATCTCTATCTGATAGTCTAACAGGATTTTTGTCTACCTTTTGGGTACTATGTAGAGCTGGTGTGACACTTTGGAGACTACCCAGACCTGTAAAGGGTTCTGTCATGCCTGCCTTAGTACTTGGGGGACCTCTGTACTGTGCAGCTATGGTTCAGATCCCTGATACCAGTAGTCAGCCCACAAGCATAAGGTGTCACCCTGGCTCTCACTAGCCTACTTACTCTTTTGCAAAGTGACACCAACAACCCTTCTAGTCCTGCATCTCCCCAAATATGTCCTCACAGGCACTTAAACTTTTCCCCTGTGGTTCATTGCCCCCAAAGGTGTGAAACCAGCTCCGCAGCTCTCAGGTCACCGTGGCGCGCATATGCCACACAATTTGCCCAACGGAGACCTGTTTGGGACAAAAATGAACAAAAGTTGTATTTAATAGAAAATCCACAGATCAAAGATGAAATAGTAAGGGAAAGCAAACATCTGACTCACACAGAAAATAAACATGACGACATAACCTCAGCCTTTACACTTCTATGTCAGATAAAGTCCCTTTTCTAATACAAGTTACCTATTGTCTTAATACAGTTCCCCAGCATACCCCCTAACTATAGGAGGGATCCAGCATTCACAAACAGCCTCCTGCCTTGAGACTGTCCCCTTCTGGATTCAGCTCCGTTCCAAGCCTGTTTTTAAAAGGGTTTTCCTTTTCTCTCTGTTTTTTTCTATCAGTCCGTGATGATTCATGGTTAATCACAGTTGTGAAATTTCTTCCTGATTTGATGTTGGGGAGCCTCTGTGTTCTTTTCAACTTCGAGTTATTTCAGAGACTTTCCATTAACTGTAATGATCCACTGTTGTCCTTTCCTGGGATGGACAACGGATAGTTACTTGAAGCCTGAAGCCGGGTTCGTGTAAACAACTGTTTTGGGAGGTGCCCCTCCATGCCTGAGTGCTCACCACCCTACTGTAAAGTGTGGCTGAAGTTGCAGCACAGTGTTCTATATATACAAATACATGAAAATGTGTATGTATCTCCTAATGATTTAGTTTAGAACATTACAAGATTTCATAAGACCTTGATATATTTTTATAGTACTGTAACATTTGTATGCAATCAGTTGATTTAACTACTTATTTTGAGGGTTCAAACCTTTTGTTCTTCTTTGAGAGATGTCCCTGTGGGTGCTCCACTTCAGGTGTTGGTGCGTCCCTGCGCCTTCGCTCAGAGATTCTTACAGCAGTACTTGTACCAGTCACGCACGCGCAGAGCCTGCCCCCGCCCTGCTCTGAGTGTTCCTAAATAGTATGCCTGCGCGATCGGTCTCCTCAGTTCCTTCTCTACCGTCCCCGGCCTGAGATGGAGCTCAGCAGACTCATTAGAGAATTTCTTCTCTCCCTTGTTCAACTTTTTTCCTTCTTAGTTTAGCTTACCAGTATTAGTTAGGTATCCTTTTCCCGTCTTTTCTCTTCTTAAAAAAACAAACAAAAAAACCTTTTTGTTCCTGTCACTGCAGCCGCTTCCGACATGCCTGGCTCTCCAGGTTTTAAACGCTGCTCTAACTGTAATGATGCCATCTCTCTTTCAGATGGCCACTCTAAATGTATTAAATGTTTGGGGGAGTCCCACATCCCCGAAAAATGTGCCCACTGCAGCAAGTTGAAATCCAGGCACGCAAAGACAGGGGCCTGCAGTTAAAACTACTCCTGCTGCAAAAATCCCTCAGACTCGGGCTCTGACTCTGCTGTACACCACAGCAAAGAGACAAAAGAAAACTTCAAAAAAAACCATCAGTCTCTCTCACCCACAAAGGGTATTGGCAGGGATATGCCTTCTCCGGGTACTGCTTTCCTCCCCACGCTCCCCCGGCTGAGTACCTTTTGATGTGCCGGGCTCCTCCGGCTGCGGTGGTTACGGTCGTACTAATCTCCGGTGCCGAGGCTTCAGGCTTTCAGTTGCTTGCCTCTCACACGGCACTGTTTGGCACCGCAATGGAAGCAGTGCCAATGCACATTAGCCTGCCTGACCCCCCCTCACAGGCTCCTCTCACTCTCCCGGCACAGTCAGCCTTTGAGCTAGCCGGCAGTGACAGAACGCTTAGGGCACCGGTGCAGAGGAATCCCTCCTCACAACAAATTCCTCTCGCACACCCCTCCACTCGCAGAGGCGTGCTGCAGCACCACAATTCACACACTCAAGGGACCTGCTGGTGTCACCTATCCTGCAGTCACCCCTGCTTAACACCTACTTCTCTCTGGACACTCGGACAAGGTCCGCACAGCTTTCCTCCAGTGATGAGGAATCTGGGCTGCAGGGAGAATTTTCACCTTATCAGATCTCCCGTCCACAGACCCCAATCAAGAGAGGTCATAGAAAAGCTGCCTCATCCTACTCTGAGGGTCCTGCCCCATGGGGCGTGAACCCCTGGAGGCACTACCCATGTCCTTCCCACCACAGTGGCAGTATTGGGCTCCATGGGCTCCTTATACTCGCGACCACACTCATTATACCACTGTAGTTAGGCATGAGACCAGCTTGGTACCACCAGCTGACGACCCTGCCACTGACTCCAGACACCAGGCAGCCCTGTCACAACTGCAAGAGCAAGCACAGTCTGTCTCTAACCTGGTAGAACCAGTTGTTCCGCCTGATGAAGCATTGTTTCCTCCTCCCCCCGATGTCTTTGGACGACTTCTCAAAATTTCAAGACCTGTTTAAAAGAATTGCCAATGAGCTATGAATTAACCTGGAGGAAGTCCCTGCACAGCAGCATGAACTAACTGACATCCTGCAGCCCTCTTCTTCTTCTAGAATTGCATTACGCATCTCTTTTAGAACCTGCCAAGACAATTTGGCAAACCCCGGCTGCAAGCCTGCCTACCTGTAAGAGAGCAGACCGAAAGTACATTTTTCCTTCCAAGGGCTCGGCATTCCTGTTTACTCACCCAGCGCCAAACTCGCTGGTAGTAGATGCAGTTAACCAAAAGAACAAACACCATTTCCCCGCTTCACCCCTTCTGACAAGGACAGTAAGCGAGTAGATCTGCTCGGACGTAAGGTATACGCTTCTTCCACATTGCAGTTTCACGTTGCTAATTATACAGCTGTACTAGCAAAGTATGACCACAAAAATTACAATAAATTCATGGACTTTATTGAGCACGTTCCAGAAGAAAAGAAACAATTTACAGCCATAGTTTCCGAGGGACAAATCGTCTCCCGCACTGCTCTCCAAGCTGCCCTTGATGTGGCCAATGCTGCGGCACAGTCCACAGCCACAGCAGTCAAGATGCGCTGAGGGTCATGGCTCTCGTCCTCTCCCTTTCCCCGGGAGGTCCAGCGTACCATTGAGGATCTCCCCTTCGACGGTGACAAACTGTTCGCCTCCACCACAAATCACATACTCCACTCCATGAAGGACTCCAGGGCAACTCTCCGGTCTCTAGGAATTCAAACCCCTACGACTAGAATGCAATAATATAGATATCAGCCTTATCAGCGATTGTCTCCTCAAAGCCTCAAAGCTATCTCACATACACCCAGCAATTCCATAGATCTCATGAGCAACAGCAACACCAGAGACCCAGATACCAACGCCGCTGTCCCAACTCCTCAGCAGCATCTCAACTCCCTCCAACTAATTAAGCAAATTTGAAGCCTTGGTTGAGAGTATAGAAAACAATATTTCCTCTTCAGTGCTTACACCACCTGCCCCTATTTTTGGTCATTGCCTACACCCATTCTCCCATCAATGGTGAAATATTACCACCGACAAGTGGGCTTTAGAGGTCGTCACAATTGGCTATTCCATCCCTTTCCTCTTCCTTCCTGCCTCCCTCCCACCCACCCTCCCTGTCCCTGTTCAGGGACTCTTCTCAAGAGCAACATCTCCTTCAACTGGGGAAATCGTGCCCGAACAACACAGAGGGAAAGGTTTCTACTCCCATTACTTCTTAACAGAAAAGAAAACCAGGGGATGGCGACCGATCCTCAACCTCAGGTGGCTAAACAAATTTATCAAAAAGCAAAAGTTCAAAATGGTTACCCTCACCACCATAATCCCAGCACTGGAGTAGGGTGATTGGTTTTCAGCCTTGACCTACAGGCCGCCTATTTTCATGTGGCTATTCCCACAGTGGTTTTCTTCGTTTTACTCTTGGTTTGACACATTTTCAATACAGAGTGTTGCCCTTCGGCCTATCTACCGCCCCCCGAGTTTTCTCCAAACTCCTAGCCATGGTTACTGCCCACCTCAGGAAACAGGGTTATAATATTTCCTTACCTCGACAATTGTCTCCTCAAAGCCTCAACACTTGATGAAGCTCTTTGATCCACGCAGCTTACCGTCGCTTGCTTCCTTTCCCTTGGCCTACAAATAAAAACAAATCCACCTTCTCTCCTACCCAACAACTGGATTTCATAGGAGCGCATCTCGATTCCAGAACGGGAATAGTGTCTCTCCTGCTTGATCATTTCAACACCATAAAACTCCTGGTTACAAAACTTCGCAACAGTCCCCAGGTCACTGCACAAGACTGCCTGAAACTATTATGCCACATGGCCTCATGTACTTTCATGGTCAAAAATGCACGCCTATACATGAGGTGCCTTCCAAGCTTGGTTGGCCACGGTTTACAGACTGAACGTACACGCTCTAAACAAGCCTCTGTCCATACCCTTCAGAGTCAAAGACTCCCTCCAATGGTGGACAGTTCCCTCCAACCTCTGCTCAGGAGTCCCTTTTCTCCAGGACTCCCCATCACTCCTAATGACTACTGATGTATCCCTCATGGGATGGGGAGCACACATGTCCCACCATACAGCCCAGGGGCTATAGTCTTCCACCGAAGCCTCCCTACACATAAACGTCCTAGAACTGCGAGCCATATGCAATGCCTGCCGTCGCTTCCTCCCATTCATTCAGAACCAACATGTTCAGATAATGACAGACAACATCGCATGCATGTTCTGTGTCAACAGGCAGGGAGGGGCTCAATCTTACTCGCTTTGCACAGAAGCCATGAAGCTCTGGCGTGCCTCGTGAACAACATCTGGATATCAGCTGCCTATCTTCCCGGGGCCCTGAATACCACCGCGGACAAACTAAGCGGATATTTTCCCTGGAATCACGAATGGGAGATAAACGACACGATCATACACAATATATTCCGCGTTTGGGGCTATCCAACCCTGGGCCTCTTTGCGACTGTGAAGAACAAGAAATGTCCCGAATTTTGCTCCAGAGCGGGATTGGGCAACCATTCCCTAGGAGATGCATTCCTGATCTCATGGGCTCAACACTTAATGTGTGCTTCCCCCCAGTACCAGTTCTCCACAGAGTTCTGACAAAGATACGGACAGATCATGCCACGGTAATTCTCATTGCCCCGTTGTGGCCCAGACAACCATGGTTTCCGTTCCTCACCAGAATGCCAATTCGCCCACCGATTTCATTGCCCCTCACTCCGAACCTCGTATCGCAGCAACACGGCTGATTTCTTCACCCCAACCTCTGTCCATGCTTTATCTCAAAGCTTGGTTCCTACATGGTTCTCCCAAAACCATCTAGCATGCTCTGAGCAGGTTCAGAGAGTGCTCCTACATTGCAGAACACAATCTACTCGCACAACGTATCTCCAAAAGTGGAAGCGATTCACACAATGGTGCTCAACTAAACAACTTCCTCCTACTTCTGCACCTCTTCCATCCATACTTGACTACTTATTAGATCTTAAGCAATCTGGCCTTTCTTTCAGCTCGATCAAAGTCCACTTAGCTGCTATTACAACTTTTCATGAAAAGATCGACGATACCTCTGTTTTTGCTCATCCAATCACCAAACATTTTCTCAAAGGGCTCCAATCCCTATACCCAGACATTAAACCTCCTGCCCCTCTGTGGGACCTTCACTTAGTATTATCCTGCTTAACTCAACAACCATTTGAGACTCTAGTCATTTGCTCCCTCTTACACCTCTCTATGAAAACAGCATTCTTAGTGGCAATCACCTCCGCCAGACGGGCAGGAGAAATAGTGGCTCTCATGGCAGACCTACCTTATACACATTTTTAAGGACAAGGTTACCCTCCGACTACACCCCAAATTTCTTCCAAAGGTGCATTCATCATTCCACATCAATGAGCCGATACACCTACCAACCTTCTTTCCTAAACCACATGCAAACTCGTTTGAATCCACAATGCATAGGTTAGATGTACGCAGGGCTTTGTCCTTCTATTTGGATAGAACCAAGCCCTTCAAGAACTCTTCTAGACTCTGTCTCCATTGCGGAGCGCTCCAAAGGGACACCTATTTCTACCCAGAGACTTTCAAACTGGATTTCTGAGTGTATCCGACTGTGCTATCCGATAAAGAAAGTTACGCCTCCAGCCGGCATCAGAACTCATGACACTAGATCTGTGGCTACCTCTGTGGCTTTTCTATGCAAAGTTCCTCTGGCTGACATCATTCGACTTCTGAACACACATTTGTTAAGTCTTATGCCCTTACTCAAGGCCCTCTCTCTGATACACGATTAGGCAGAGATGTATTATCTACTGCATTCCTATAAAATCTGAAGTCCCTACCTCCTTGAGATACACTGCTTTTAAGTCACCTGGAGTGGAGAACCCACAGGAACATCTCTGAAAGAAGAAGAGGAGGTTACTCACCCTGTGCAGTAACTGACCTTCTTCGAGATGGGTGTCCCTGTGGGTGCTCCACTACCCACCCTTCTCCCCTCTACTTTGGAGTTGGGGTAGCCTCCGTTGTAGAGAAGGAACTGAGGAGACCGGTCGCGCATGCCTAGTATTAACGTACACTCAAAGTGGGGGGGGGGGTCAGATGTTGCGCGTGCGTGACCAGTACAAGTATTGCTGTAACAATCTCAGAGCAAAGGTGCAGAAATGCACCAACACCTGGAGTGGAGCACCCACAGGGACACTCATCTCGAAGAACGTCAATTACTGCACAGGATGAGTAACCTCCTCTTCTCCCCTTGGCGTTTCTGGACCTAGATTGTTACAGCTGGTATTGCTGGACATATTTAAGGAACCCAGGTTCTTCACTGGCAGCAATCCAATGTTTCTGTCTTTCAGTGTTAGGAATCTGCTCTTGTTAATTAGATCAGGCGTTGATTCCTTTTAAAGAATAGTATCTGTTGTCAGTTCATTTGTGATCATTGTCTAAAAAATAGCCCTGTTCATGTTTCATGTGTTTGGCAGGGTTTTTTTTAATAGTATGGTTTTGTAATGTACCTACTCCAGTCATTCAGTACTACGTAGGATTGAAACTACAATTTTTTGTCCTGAATATTAGTAAGTAGTTTTTATCTCTAGGGTTCTGGCTTCATAGATATAGGCTGCTAAAAATAGGGGCAAAAGTTTAGGAAAGCTAGTGAGTTATAGTGGTGGTTGGCTAAATTGAAATGACACAGATATTAGCCTTTTGAGACTTAGGCAAACCCTCTCCAATTACCAAAAATAGTTTTTACATCAGTCATGAATAGCTAAACTTTGCTAGATATCAGTTATAAAATATTAGCTTTATATACCAACTCAACTTTTATTGTATTGTACCATGGCATGTACTTGAGAACACCTGCTTTTTTTCCCCCCTTATATTAAATTATTGTAGTTTAAAGTTATGATAGTGAGCAACAGCGTTGCTCTTATTCTTCACTTCCACTAAGCAATGATGAACCAAATTGTGTGCTGGTTACTGGAGCAGGTTAAACCTAAAAATTTTAATGGCCAAGGTTTCACTGTTAGAAATGTCACTGATATACCTCTGTCTATATTCATTGACCACATATTTTATATTATGGAAAGTATGCACGTAAATGTTTTGATCATTTATACTTTATAAATGTAACTTGCTACTTCCATGTTTCATGGCTGATCCAGTTGATTTTTTTCCAGTGTGCATATTGGCAGCAAGATTATTGGATGTGATACTGTTGCTAATGTTGTGTTTATGAAAATACTTCTGATGTTAATATATTAATCTGTACTATTTTTTTTTCCTCTGACAGGCTGATATGCTAAGGTCACTAGCTAGCACAAAACCAACAGTAAATGAACAGGATCTGGAAAAATTAACGAAGTTTACAAAAGACTTTGGTCAGGAAGGCTAAACCAAAGACAGTCATGGAACACTCCACCTTATGTTTTCTCTTTCATAGGTATTTTTGCCTCCTTATTGATGGCATTTCAAATAATTGCCAATGGAAAAAAAAATCACTTCCTTCTTACTTTGCACATGGAATAGAAGATATCTTTGCAAAGACCCTTTGAGCTTTTGTATTGTATTGTTTTCCTCAAATGTCTATTAAATGTCTTCTACTGAGAGGTAATACTAAGAGTATAATTTTAGGATCCTATGGCAAAGCAAAAGTGATGTGGTAAATTGTATTTAAATATTAGAAATCTCTTAAAAGATTAGTTAAGTTTTACTAAATGTTAAATTTTAGGCTATATCTGGTAGGCCTGGCTATAAATTATTTATGAAGTCCCATTGAGCCCAACAATAAATGACCTTTTTGGGGGTGGGAGAGGATGTGTGTATCTGTCAAGTGTTCTGAATGTCAGTCAGTTAGCCTGCACGTTAATTGCTTTCTTTTCAGTTAGATAAATACATAAAAATTTGCTAATAAATCAGATTTTGTAGATGTATATGTCCTGTAAAATAGGTATGCAAAGAACACTGTGATGGAGGCTAATATTTTGAACTTATGTAATGGCCAGTACTTATGAGAAATACAGATATTGAACTGGTACTTGGCTCTTTTTCTGGTATGCTGTGTTTAATTATTGCCTTAAACAGCAAACTTTTGTTTTTTAATTCTGTTAGCTGATCGACATCTGTCACTGTGCAATCTAGCAAAGACTTACTAAATTTAAGAATCTTGGAAGAAAGTTCTTCACTGATTGGTTTTTTTTTTTAATTCAGATTTACTTTCAGCAGGAATTTTGACCAAACACATAGAATGTTTTAGAGTACTTGCATAAGATTACAGAATTGAAGGCCTGCAAGGTATAACCAGTCTTTGAATATTGTAAGTGAGGTACTTCTGGAACTAACTTGTGATCTTATTTTCAGAACCTGGGAAATTTAGGGAGGAAATAGTAAAAGGCTACAACTTTGAGATGATGGGCTAAATTGTCCCAAGTACCTCCTTTAGTACAGTGCATAGCATGTATCAATTTAATGCTTAAAGATTTTGAAAATACCTCTCTAAACAAAATACAATAGTAGTATCATGTTACTTCCTGTGATTTTTTTCTAAAGGAGTATGGGTTCTAAGATGTGCCTGAATGTAACTTACAACACTATAGTGTCAGCATTGAGTTTGTGCCTTGTAAGTTTGCACTGTACAGTAGATATGAAAGATCATTGAGGTATTTAGAATACAGTACATTCCATTATTACTGTAAAATTCTATCCCTGCATATGCTTTGTTTAAACTAACTTGCATTAAAAAAGAAATTTGCACATTTCGTAGATATATTATATGGTCACCTTTTGATGGGTTTGGTTTTCTTTTATGTACATATTTTGTGTACTGTATAAATCATAGCACTGGTGAAATTTGCTGTACTTAAATGAAGTAAAATGTCATAGTACAACAACTATACTCAGTTTATTCCTTCAGTATTTTCAAGGGGGTCCTGGACAAACTTTCTACTGAAGTTCATGGGTACAGTTTGCACTATTACACAGAAGCAATCTTCAGATATTTCTTATAATCCACATAGTACTGAAACTTCATTTCCTTTCCAGTAATCTTTCACTGTATAGTATACACCCAAATTCCTTTTTACATCATTCACGTAAATGCAATAGTTGTGCCTTTGTCTCACATTGCAGTCTCTGTGCATAATTCCAAATATTTACAAACCTGACAAAATTCAAACTAGAGACTTTAGTGCAATCTTATGATTCTCAGAGATGTATCTTGGAAGTACAGAGACCTGTGTTAAGCATACTGTGGGTTACCATCAATTCACCTTTCTGTAATCTCTTCATTAAGTGTGTTCTGCTGGACATATTTCAAATGTGAATCAATAACTTTGTTTAGTTGTGGGAAGTGTTCTTTGTTCAATACTTTTGCTATAGTGTTATCAATTTGCATTTCTTATTTATAATGAGGTCCACAGATCCATGACATTGGGTAGCGTGCTCTATGTAGCCTTGGAGGCAGACCAAACTTGTCAGTCAGAGGCAGGGAAAGTGTGGCCCCCTTCTCTGAGAAATTGCCAAATTTCATCCGTTTCTCCAGCTGCAGGCAGACAGACCAGTCCCCCCCATACCCACTTCAAAGCAAATTTTAAAGAAAAAGGGAGAAAATGGCTTAATTGCCAGGTCTGTTGTAAGAAAAATCCCCTGTGCCTGGCACAGACGACAGCAACCCTCCTGGGACCAGCAAGCAATTGATCCCTCCTTTCCCTCTCCCCTGCCCATTGTGAGGGGGGAGGGTAGGTTGAAGCACAGTAGCAAAGGGCCAGGGAAACTTCCTGCCCAGCTCCTGGAGCTCTTGCCCATAGCCATGTCTGTTGACCACAGATCCGTTGCTGCCTGGCTTCATGGGCTGGGAGTTACTACTGGGGATCTAGAAAAAGAGCAAAGAGAGCAGGCCTCCCTCTTCCTCCATTGCATAGCAGGTCCCTTGCCCAGCCCTGCAGTGGCTCAGCTTGGTGTCCCTGAGGTGGCGTCAGCCTCGCTCCAGGCCACGTCCAGGGATCTCCTTTAACAAAGCATGGGACCCTGGGAAGCCCCCAGCTGGAACCTTGCCCTGAGAAAAAGGGGTTTTGTGCTGGAAAGAGTGCTGCTGGAAAGAGAAACCACAAGGGCCCTATCCTCCTTCCTCCAGGGAACCATCTGTCTGAAATGTTTCTCCTGAGGAGGAGGAACCAAGATGAGCCATAAAAGAGGTTTCACAGATGTTCAGACCCCACTAGTCACCCAACATAGCACCATTCATCTTCTGAAGAGTCTGATTCAGGAGACTCCTCTTACCTTCATAGAATGTAACAGGGCAGATAATCCCCAATGTACCCTGTAATAGTGGGGTTGGGACATTGTGCCACACCTAAAGATTGGGAAAGCAGTGGGCTGTTGTCCTCAGCTGCTGCAGCAAGTTGTCATGTGGTAATGGGCTGTCATTCCCAGCTCTCGCTGTGGGTCACTTGGCCCTAATGTCCTGGTTATTGCTCTCCGCTTCTGTTGCAGGTTGCCATGCTTCATTATTACGTCCTTCCCACAGCAGATAGCTATGGAGAAATAAGAAGGACATCAGTCCAGATGTGGAAGAACTGGCAGGCACTGATGGACCTCTTGTCCTGCCACTTCTTTCTTCTATCCCATTCTATAAGACCAGAAGGTTCCTTAGTGTGCACCAATCAAAATTCATCCAGGTGGCTCCATTGAAGATAAACAGGCCTTTTTCCCTACTGGTCAAGGACTTATTCCTAACTGAGAAATATTTTTTTTACCTGAAAGAGTGGCCTCCTCTCTATAAAGGCCTTTCAGAGGTAGCCAACTCCAGGTAGGCATAAGCGCAGCCCCCTCCTTTGAGCATGAAAACTGTTGAGGGCATCAAGCCAACAAGAATAAGTAAATAAGAGAGAATTGTCATTTGACACCCTAAGTGCCCCCACATGCTTTCACAAGCAGTGCTAAGGTGGGCGGACAGTATTGCAAGTATGGTCTTGCTCAACCTATTTTTTAAAAAAACAAACAAACTGCACAGCTTAAGAGCTTCTGCCTGAGGAGGAATCGGGTCATGCAGACAGCCATCCTAAATCTCCTATAAATGGGAGCAACTGAACCTGTCCCACCTCTTCAGAAGAAAAACAGGCCTTGCTGTATATTATTTCTTCTTTCCCATTCCCCACCCCCAAAAACAGTCCAAGCTCCAGAGCGCTTCTTGACATCAAGGAAATGAACAGATCCATTGAAAAGAAAAATCAAAATTCAAGCTGGAAACACTAAAATCCACACTAGCTGCCATCAATCAAAGGGACTGCAGGACATAAGTAGATGTGAATGATGCCAATCTCCATACACCAATTCAACAGTTTCCCAGATATTTCCTAAACTTTGATTTTGCAGCAAAACATTTCCAATACAGGTCCTTGCCCTTTGGTTTAGCAACAGCAGGGCGGCCAGAGAGTGGCAGCTGCTGGCTGGGACCCCACATCTGAAGGCAGAGCCGCTGCCAGCAGCAGTGCAGAAGTATGGTATGGTATTGCCACCCTTACTTCTGTTGCCTGCCAAGCTGGACCCTTAGCAGCTGCCACTATCCAGCCACCCAACTCTGAAGGTGGCAGCACAGAAATAAGGGTGGCATGGTATGTGTGACGGGCTGGGTCACAGAAACCCCTTGGGACTGCTACCTGATGTGCTGAGATTACCTCTAAGCCCATTTTCCCTGCCATCTTGGGACTTCAGTACCCTGTCTTGTTGAGACAGACACGCTAGCCTGCTGCAAACACAGACCCAGGTCTGAACCACGTCCCCCCAAAAGCTGCAGACTTAACTGAAAACAGCTTAAGAAGTGCTCTGTCTCTAGCACCCAGCTCCCAATGGGATCCAAGCCCCAAATAAATCCATTTTACTCTGTATAAAGCTTATACAGGGTAAACTCATAAATTGTCTGCCCTCTCTAACACTGATAGATATACACAGCTGTTTGCTCCCCCAGGAATTAATTACATTGGGTTAATTTATAAGCAAAAATGATTTTATTAAATATAAAAATTAGGATTCAAGTGGTTCCAAGTAATAACAGAGAGAACAAAGTAAATTACCAAGCAAAATAAACCAAAAACATACAAGTCTAAGCCTAATACAGTAAGAAACTGATTACAGATGAAACATCACCCTCAGAGATGTTCCAGTAAGCTTCTTTCACAGACTAGACTCCTTTCTAGTGTGGGCCCAATCCTTTACCCGGTACAGTCCTTGTTCCAGCTCAGGTGGTAGCTAGGGGATTTCTCATGACTGCAGCCTCCTTTGTTCTGTTCCACCTCCTTATATGCCTTTGGCATAAGGCGGGAATCTTTTGTCTCTTGGGGTCCCCACTCCTCCTTCCAAATGGAAAAGCACCAGGTTTAAGATGGATTCCAGTACCAGGTGACATGGTCACATGTCCTGTGAGACCCCAAGCCTTCATTCTTCCTGGCCTGACTCACAGGAAGGCTTGCAAGTAAATAGAGCCATCTACAGTCAGTTGTCCTAGTTGATGGGAGCCGTCAAGATTCTAAACCACCAATAATGGCCCACACTTTGAATAACTACAATAGGACCTCAGAGTTATATTTTATATTCCTAGCTTCAGATACAAGAATGATACATTCATACAAATAGGATCAACACACTCAGTAGATTATAAGCTTTGTAATGATACCTTGCAAGAGACCTTTTGCATGAAGCATATTCCAGTTACATTATATTCACACTCATTAGCATATTTTCATAAAATCACATGGAATGCAATGTGTCAGTATGGTATTGCTACCCTTACTTCTGCGCTGCTGCTGGCTCCATCTTCAGAGCAGGGTGCCTTGCTAACAGCCATTGCTCTCCCGCTGCCCAGATCGGAAGGCCGCGGAGAAGTAAGGGTGGCCATAGTGTGAGACACACACCCCCCATCCCCCGCGGCAACTCCCTTTTGGGTCAGGCCCCTCAATTTGAGAAACGCTGGTCTTCCCCATGAAATCTGTATAGGATAGGGTAAAGCACACAAAAGACCAGATTTCACAGGGGGAGACCAGATTTCATGGTCCGTGATGCATTTTTCATGGCCGTGAATTTGGTAGAGCTCTAATGATAATACAAGAGCCAGTCATGCATCAAAATCCAGACAGTCTGAGCCTAGCTGCCTGGTTCTTGAACAGTCTCTTAAGCAAAGAGGTTATTCAGGGAGTTGATATCCACAATTTTAGCTTCCTAGAAATAAATGTCCTAAGCATACTCAAGGGCCTGATCAAGTTTTAACCATTGGTACCAGGACAAGGGTTTCACCTTCCTCCTCCACTCCCCATGTGCATTGGTACCACTGATTCTCAAATTTCTTCAAAATGACCTGGCAGTTCAGACTCTCAAAGATCAAGTTGCTGCTTTGTCTAGTATCTTTTGTATAGTAAACAAATAGAGAATTTAGTCTCACCCAGATGTCCAGTGTTTTTCTTACAAGAGAAGCATTGCTTCTACATTATCCTGACATGCATAAAGTTCCTTTATGGGCCTTAGTTTTTAGTGCCAATGTGCCATTACAGGCCTTCCAGTTGAACCATTAATGAAAATCTTTCTCTAATTGCTCAACATTATTTTTTGTAAATGACAATCATGTCTGTTCACAGGGTGTTTGACTTAGGAGCTCTTTTCCTGGAACTTCAGTACTGTATGTTCCCTAAGGCTAATGTGGTACTCAGAACCAATCCTCTATTCATACTAAAGAATAACTCCAGGCTCCAGAGAGCACAGGAAATGTGTTTTCCATCCTTCTGTCCAGCTCCATCAAACTCCAGAGAGAAATTGTGGCATGTTTTGGATGGCTGCAAAGCACTCAAAGTATATAATTAACACAGATCACAAAAACAAATGCTTTGTTTGTGCTTTATTATCC